GGTCACTTCAAAATGATGCCTACCACAGTGTCCTGATTCATGATCCTGAACCAAAACATCAGTTGGATCTACGAGCAGGAGGCCATTTATGCCTTAAAAAAAAGTTTATGGGTGAACTTCTCTCACCTCTCTGTTCAGATGGGTGGCAGGCACAGGGCCCTGCCATTAGCTCCTGTGCTAGCTCTGTCTCCAGCCTCTGCATCCACTCGCCAGGCAACAGCCAGGGCAGGCTCGGGAATATTTCAGAGGAAGGTCCCTGCCCGGTGCCTTCTCGGTGGCCACAAGGTGGTGCTTTTTTACTGCCGATCTCTGAGAAGGGGACGGCCCGCGGGAGAGCAGCAGGTCCGCGGCGCAGAGCGGAGGGCAGAGCTAAGCTCGTTACCTTCCCTGTGCCCGCCTCATCCCGCTGCTCATATCTGTGCCGGAAAACAAAACCTCTGCAAAATCCTATGCAAAATAAAAGCCCCCGGACTCTGCAGTGGCATGAGCAGAGGCAACAGGAAGTTGTCTTCATGTATTTATTTCTCAGAAATTTCTTACCCCTTTGCCATTGCTCACAAAGTTCACTTCCCAAAGCCTTCACACATACTGCACTAATATTTTATGTTCTATCACTTAGTATGTTTAGCATAGAGATATAATAAAAGTAGAAAGGTAAGTACAATGGAAACTTCTTTGAATAATAACTACTATGCCCTAAAGCTGTGAGCAACTGAGTTTTGCTGTGAAGGATCTTTACCACTTCCCATCCCAGAAAAAGACAGAGGAGTCCTTGCTGTCCTCCCCCTTGTCCTTACTTTTGCAGTGCTATGACCATTTATGGACCTCTATAGGCATACTTATTTGATGCATTGCCATGCTGATAGGGAAGTTACTATAGGAAAAGATTYTGAAATATGAAAGTAAATATTTCTCACTAAGGAGAAAAATAAAAGAGGACCAAAAGTTTTTTTTTTTTTTTCCTCCAAAAAGGTCACTAAAAGAATCAATACCCAAATATACTAGAATTTCCATTTTCTATATTGAAATACTTTCTGACGCAGAGAGGTTATTAATGGACAGGATTAATCTTGACACAAGTTGCTACCACCTGGGAAGCTCCCTTGCCACAGAACTCCCACAGGACTAGAAGACCTATTTGACTCTYTCTCCTTGCAGGCAGAAGCTGTAAGCTCTTGATTTTGCAGTTGACWCGGAGTACTAATCTGAGGATACCCTTAGGACTAATTGAAAATTTTCCTAAGTTTGCTAAACCATAAAGCAGACTTGATAGTTTTAGAAGAAAAGGAAACTCTAGTTGTCATAGAAGAACACGAAGTAGCCTTAAATGCCTCACCAGAGGATGGCTGTAAATGGGAACAACAAGCTGCTTAGTGTTAGATATTAAGGACTGAAAAAGCCTTGTGTGGCTTCTGACTGCACAAACCATTGCATTTCATGTGCTTCTCCCAGAACCTGTGCCCAGGCACTTCAACTGCCAGCAAATTAAGCTGTTGCCTCATGCGGCTGGGGACAAGAGACTAACTAGTAGCCGCAGCTGGAGGCTCTGAAGGGACAGGGCATCAGCGACTTGGATATGATCCGCACTGCAGAGTGCAGAGGAAACTGAATAAACACCCGGAAATTAGGAAAAGTTAGGAAACTTAAGGAAAAATACTTCCTGCCCCCAAACTTCACTCCTGGACCTTCTATAGACAATCTAACCAGATCCTGTCCTAAATATGGGACAGTGGTTCACCTTGCTAGTAACAGCATGATAAGTTATTGCCAATTTCAGATAGTTCCAAGAAAAATGGGAAGAAGCACTAGACTAAGTTGGACAACAAAATTTGAAGCCAAGAGGAAATCACCTCATTTTTATGCATTTAATAATGGAATTTTCTTAAAAACTGTATTATTTTCCTACAAGCTCTGCTTTGTGCAGACTTACCAAGGCTGAGAYGTTCCCAAAGGTGTAAAGCCAGAGCCACAAGTGAACAAGAAGGGAAGTATCATCAGGGACAGTCTTACTGGCTACGGCTACATCTGCTTGACCATACTTCTCTTTCTGCTATTACACCTGCAGCAAAGACAGACAGAAAGATCATGAGAGCCTTCACCTCTACTTTGCACAACGAGGTGATCTTCATCTGAACTGATGAAGCAGGTCCAGCTTCATCAGCTGAACATGAAGTAGGAACACAACCCACACCTAAACAAATATCTGACTCAGCTCCTAAACTGAAAAAGCAGCAGCTTTGAGGAGGAAGTTGGCAACATCACTTAGAAAGCCATGGATTTGCTCCAGCTCCCCTCTTCTCCACTCACTCTAATKATTTAATCCTGATCCCTAAATAGAATCTGTCTCATGAAAAGAAAAATGGACTTGGCTGTAGCTCCCTTTTCTTTCCCATTCACCTTTTCAAGCATAGAAATATCCCCCCCCACACACACACCCCTAAATACCTTAGGCTGTTTCATCTCAATTATATCATCTATTAAGGCCTTTTGTCTTAACCTATATGTAAGGCAGGTTGTCTCCCTCAGTTTATTGAGGGAAGTTGCAGCATTTTTTTTTTTATTATTATTATTTTTCTAGCCCAATTCTAGCATACTGTGATTGATAACTTGGAGCTAGCCCTTTATAAAACAGAGGCAACTTATACTCTTCCTATTCTGAACATCTGACTTAAATGATACAGTTCAAAGAGCCTTGTTAGCTAGCAGATCTAAGCCATCTGAAATGGAATGAGGCTGGATTAGTGTCAAGAGTGTTCAAATGAAAAGTCAGTTTCTCAACCCAAGTGTATCTAAAATACTTTTTTTAATGTCTGCATAAGTTCACAAGTGATACAATATTGACTTTTGTTTTTTTTAAACATACTTTACAGTCAGGTTAGTTAGGTGTTTTACATCAAGGCACAGCACACCATATTATACACGTATGCCTTGCCAGGCAGCAATTTAGTATAATCCCCGAGTTTTGGCAGTAGTGCCAGAATAAATAGCATGAATCACATATATGCTACAAGATAAATAAATAATAGATGCTGTCACATTTTATTTGAAATAGAATTGCATATAAAAAGAATATACAATAATTTAACTTGAATAACTATAATCTCTTTTACTATACATAACAGAAGAGTTTTCATTTGTATTAAACAAAACATTTTCAGTAGTAGGATGCAAAAATTAATCTTCTTTTTGGCTGTCTTGATTTATGGAGAAGAGTTTCTTTTGTTAGAAATGAAAGTTGGATTTTCAGTTTCATGACAATCTGAAAGACACAAATCCAGAGTTACAGGAATATTCATCATGAATGCTATGGATAAAATGAATAAATATTTTCAAAATGTTCTGCTTACTTAGGGCCCTGTGAAGCTAGTTATTTCACTAGTATATTTATGAATGCTCTTTTTCTCAGTTTAAATAGGCTAAATTTTTAGCTCTTTACTATATTGGTAAATGTCTAGTTTTTAAGGAGATGGTCACCCTAAGCCTGGGACTCATCCAGCAGAACTGAAACACTACCAACTCTAAAGGCTGCAGTCTCTATACATATCACAACATATTTACCAGCTTCACCTTAGCATTCGGCTGTTCAGATTTGAGTGCTTCTTCTCCGCCTGCCAAAGGCCTTGGAGCCCACGTTGGTTGGCACGAAGTTGTTCTTGCCGACYCCTCCGGAGCGGCTCAGGAAGTCCGCCAGGCGGTGGGTCACACAGGTTGCCGTGTTGCATGCCCTCTTCTGGGCCGTCACACTGCTTCAGAATGGAAACAAGTTAGTTCCCAAATACCCCTACTGAATGCAACACAACTTCAGTAAGGGCTGTTAGACTGGGAAAGATTTTTCTGTAAGAGTAAGCAGGCTTACTGTGCAGTGAGCTCTGCCAGCTTCAGGCTGCTCAGCTCACAAGCTCTCAAAGATTTTCTTTGGTTGTGTTTTATCCCTCTAGGAAAGGTGGATGAGCCCTGTTTCTTGAGCAGACTGAAGTCTTACATCAAACTAGGCCTTGAGCAACCCAGGCTGTACCCTGCCACCAGCAAGAAGCTGTGGCTGRCAGTGGTGCCAAGGCTGCCCAAGGCTTCCAGGCCATGTCCCCTTCCTCCGGAGTTTATATCTTTGCCGCCCTGCTGCTGGAGGAAAGCACCAGCAGCTGGGTTCAGCTTGTCAGGTCTGCAGCTGAGTCTCATAATAGCAGCACTTCAGCACACAGGTGCTCTGCCTGTAGTTCAGGTGCAACTCTTTTGTTAAGATAGGGGACTTCATGACATATGTGTTCATACCATCCCTGCTTGACAGATATTTTCTACTAATGATTTTTCTCAAGTTGTGGGGATGGAAGGATTTGGTTTAAATGAACATTACAGAACTGAGCTCATTAACAATATTCCTTGTACCAACATAACCATTTTGGAACAGGCCTCTGATTATGGGAGGTGCTGCAAGAGAATAACAGTAAAGTAATAATCTGTGAGGAACAGCAATGAAAGTGCCGTTTTTAGCTACAAACTAACACCTAATGCAAGTACTACAAGAAAAACCTGGATTTGTCTCCCAAACTATGGTTCACCCATGTAGTATTTTAAAGATATTTTGACTTAGAATATATTAAAGACCTGCCATAGAATGAAAAATAGTTATTAAATTCTTACCTGGAGGTGTTCAGTACTCAGTTCTAAATAGGATTATATTTCAAGATCTTTTGACTGATCCTCTCCCCATTCCTTTGCTTCTCAAAAGCTTTGCTAACAGGATTATATGCTTGCCCAGTTACACCAATGCATATGCATACATGTATATCTACACATCCAATTTCAAATTCTTTGTACTTTATTACCTATTGCAGCTATTCTAGAATTACTGGCATCGCACTGCCTCTCTGTAGCTTTAAGAACTTGTAAAGTTTTCTAGCCTTACCTGAAAATCCCATGATCTAGAGCAAGTAATTAAAACAAAGAGATCTAATTCTTATAGAAAAATAGGTTTATTGGGTAAGTGCTTGGGCAGGCATGAAAGAAAAGTCTACTTGTACATTTAGCAGCCAGAGATGAAGAGCCTTATTTAGTTTGTTTGTTTAAATGAATGTCTAAGAAAAATCATTTGAGATCTCAAGGCAATGCTGTTCATTCTTATTTATTTTCCCCCTAGCCTGATAGGAATGTTATGTACTCTGGCTTCCTAACATTTGGTCCACCTCAAACATTCTCTGTCAAAACCAGAACCAAAAGAAAAGAGCAAAGTTAGCAATCAAACTTAGATCCACATGCATCGAGTTAAAAAAGGGAGAGGGCAGAATTAAGCACGTCTAGTTGTCTCCCAGGGCATCCCCATAGTTTGCATAGCGGTCATGGTCCGGGTCACTCAGCACACTCCGTTTCTTGCCAGGAGTTCCAGCCCCGACGTCAGTGCGAGGGTAAGTTTGCAATTTGTGCAATTCTTGAGACAGTTTGCCCAGCACACAAGTACTCAGACTGGCACAGCGCTTGGAAATTGGTCTATCCAGGCTGCAGGGGGAAAGAAAACATGCCCAAAAGAAAAATAGTCTCAAACATGCATGAACATGCATTTCTTTCCTAGACAATTAACTACAGTTAGGAGACAAACAAAACAAAGAAAACATAGAGTCATAGAAAATAACCTGTCCACATCACATTCCATGCAGGGAAGGACCATACAAATGCAGTCAGAAGGGATTCACTGTTTTTTTGACAATTCAATAAGACTTCCATTCCAAAAGCAGGTTAGTTAGCTTTTCAGTTGTTAGCAGTTAGGGGACAGGGCTTTTGAGTTTCAATATACTCAGCATGCTGTTCAGTCGGGGCGTGAGTTCCCATGTGCTCCGCATGCTGCCCAGCCGCTCCTCACCAGCAGCATGCTCTGCAGCACGCAAACGCTCCGCATGCTTTGGCCCTGCAGGGAGAGGGCACCGCGTGCATGGGGAAGAGCAGCTCCTGCTCCGGGCTCTCCATGCCCAACCACGGCATGCACTTGCAYGACAGAGAATCCAAAGGTGGCGAAACAGCCGCTAACACTCCCACCAGGGAAACATACCTTTTGCTGGCCTATCTTAACACAACCCCCTCATTCAAGCTCAAATTGCCCTCCACKTTCAGTTGTGAGACAGACAGAAGCAGGTTAATAGTTGGAAGCCTTTCCTCTGACAGCAGCAGGGATGGTGTCTCTGCAGCAGCTTCCTTTGCAGAGTCAATAAGCAGAGCTGCCCATGACCTCAGAGACAAGGAAGTCTCATCCTGCACAGGGTCTGCTCAGGTGGCTCATGGCACGGATCAGACACACGGTCCCTTTCCCTCCTCCCAGCTCTGGGACCGCCATCCTTACCTATTCCCCTCAGAGGCTTGCTCCAGCTCTTCTGCCGTCATCTGTATGAACTCTTTCACCAGGGCATTTAATAATCTCCGAGCTTCGTAATCACTTAGCGTCACTCGGTCTGTTACGGACTCCAAGCCAGGTCTAGGCGGAGGCAAGGAAAACAGGGCGAATGTGACGAGGACCGCTACGGAGAGCGGGAGCCGAGAGGTGGTGTCACGGATGCTGTTGACAGCATCTTTTCACTGGTGTGAATATACACATCATGCTCATGCACAGCATTAAGTGCTTGATATGTCATTAAAAACATAGTATCTCAAGTAATATTTAAAATAACTCTACTTTCTCATTTACTATAATCCGTTTCCTTATGTCTCTACAGAATACAAGTATTTCCTTCACATTCAGACAAAGCTCTCAGCAACAGGACCATCTCTTTGATTCTTACCTGACTGGGGCTGCCTGGAAGCTGTCCATCTGGCACACAACCAAGGCATAGACAGCAAGGAAAGATGAAATCTTCAGCATAACCATGATTCCTCTCTACAACAAAGAGGTACATCAGGCAATTACCATTTTCCAGCCCTCTCCTTCCTATAAGATCTGCTAGGGAGGTCATCTTGTTGACGCACAMGTCACACAGATGCTAATAGCCTTTTCCTGTATTACTTTACATTTCTTTTGATTCCTGCTATTTTACTTTAATTTTCCCAGAATGTCAAATCAACTACTATGCGATTAAAAAGGCAGCTTTTTTAAGCTGCAGCTCAGTAGTACTTGATTTAACAGATTTACACAGAAGTTGATATAAAAAGGTTCCTCCGACTGTACACACAGTGTCGAGTCCAATGCGTCAGACAAACGGGTGCAGTTACAGGGGAAGAGCCACACAAGAAAGCAGCATCGACTGGTTTAATACAAATTAAGCACCACTGGTAGCACTTCACCTGACACTGCTTGCTCCTTGGTACCGTTAGCACATCAACATCCCACCCAAATTACACTGTGAAGATTAAATAACCTCAGTTTCAAAAAACATCCCTACTCCAAGACCAGAAAAAAAAAGAGCAAGATTGGAGAATTTGCTTGTGCAAACAAAAAGTTCTGACGCCCCGCACAGCACTCTCTGCGCCGCGACGCTGCACGGGTCCCCGCTGCAAGCCAGAGGTGGCCACTAACTTTGCTCGCCCCTCTCGCAGGGCTCCTTGTGCGCACGGCGGACAGGAGCGGCGCGCCGCGAGGCATGGAGGAGCCCGGCCGCGACGGCGAGGTGAGGAGCGCGCTGCTTACCGGTGCGGTGCGGTGCGGTGCGGTGCGGTGCGGTGCGGTGCGGTGCGGTGCGGTGCGGTGCGGTGCGGTGCGGTGCGGTGCGGTGCGGTGCGCGCCGCCGATCCGCGGTGCCGCGCGCTGCCCGCCGGCTCCTCTTTATACCTGCCGCCCGGGCAGCGCGCGTGGGCGCCCGCGCGGCCGCCGCCAGCCAATGGGCAGCCCCGCCGCCCGCCGGGACCCCCTGCCATTGGGCCCCCGACCCCGGCTCCGCGGTTACGTCATTGCCCAGCCCGCAAGTGTCCCATTCACAAAATCCGGCCGTGCCGCGGCGCYATTTGCATTGAGGTCACCGCGCGGGAGGGGGGCGGGCTGGGCCGGCCCATTAGCGTCTGGGACGGTTCGGGCCGTTGAGCCCAGCGCCCGGCACCGCTGCCCGGCACCGGCAGGTCTTGTTAGAAGCGACATCTACTGCGGAAGCTGCTGCATTGCAGACAGCGCCGGCAGCCGCGCTTCCTGCGGTGCCGCTGAGCACGCGGAGGGCGACCTCGACCCTCACATCACACAATTTAGTAACGCAGGTTCATGATTCCTGGGGGGTACCCCTGCGCCGCCGCCCCTCGCTGCGGGGCCTTCCCGTCACTAAATGCACATGCTCGGAAAGCGTTTTGCGAGGCTGAGGGGCCGTGCCTCGGGGCTCCCCTCGGCAAAGCCGCGTTCCCCGCGCCGCGGCCCCGCTCCGCCCGCCCCGGCCGAGGGGCTGCGCGCGGCCCCGCCGGCTCGCCGCGTTCCCCGCGTGAAGTCCCCWCCCCGAGGAAGCAATAACGGAAAGAACATAAACGTCTTCGAGAGCAGGTGCAGCGCCTCTCCGCAGCCCACGGCGCGCATCGCGCGGAAGAGACACGGGGGGAGAGGCGGGTCCCCCCGCCTCAGCGCCGCGCAGCCCGCCCCGGAGGCGGCCCGGCAGGATTAGCGGCAGCCGCCCGCGGCTCATGCATCACCCGCCGAGAGCCCTCTGTCACGGGCACCTGCCGCGCAGGATGTTTGCTGCTCGCGCCGTGTTTGCCGAGGGGCGCGAGCGGGGGCGGCCGCTCCGCGCGTGGACGCGGCCGCCGGGAGTGCCCGGGCGCTGTCCCGCTGCAGCGGGAGCCGCGGGAAGGGCGCTGAGTGGGGCGCTGCTGAGACCCACCGCTCGGCAGCCTAAAACGAATTTTCCCGTTGACTTCGCGGCTTTTCTTCGTTCGTTTTTTAGCAGACCCTGAAAAKGCGGCTCATTCCTGATGGTTAAGGTAGCGTGTTTTACCTGGAGGTGAATAAAGTCGGAGATAAGTGCAGAACGGCTGCTCTTTTGTTAAGGCGACTTTAGCTTTGAGGCATGTAAAGAGGATCCCGACCACACCGTAAACACGGGCAAGTCATTGACCCTCCGGAGGAGGTTTCTGCTTTCCGCGGTGGGCGCCGCTGCGCGAGCCCTCCCCGTGCCCCCCTCGGGGCGGGAGGCAGCGCTTTGCAAGTGCCAGTGGTTTCCTCTCGCCCGCGGGCRGGGGCGGCGCGGAGGCTCCGCGCTGTGTGACTCGCGCCGCGCAGCTCCGCAGCAGCGAGGGCGAAGCAGCGAGCGCGGAGCCGCGGGGCAGGACGCGCGGCGCGGAGAGCCGCGGCGAGCTCGGGCTCTGGGCGCTCCGCCCGGCCGCTGCCTCCCCTGCGGCCGCGCGGACCCCCTCCGCCTCCCGTTTTTTTTTTTTTTTTTTTTTTTTTTTTTTTCGTTTTAAATAACGGTGCTATCACACTCATTTCTATCAGAGTAATCTTTAGAAATGGCCTGGAAGAGGGAGCTGAAGGAGTTGATTTTAAATTGCCTGCTTTTTCACAAATCTTGTTTAACCTGCCTGTAAGTTTGCTGTTCATCTCTAGTTTACGAACATTTAGCATCCAAAAGTAGCATATATGGAAACGATTCAACATTGCTTTCGCTGCTTAAAACACCACTTTTTTTTTTTTTTCTTTCCTCTGATAACAGTTAATTGCTCACATTTCTTAGGAGAATTTACACCTTCTTAGGAGAATTTACACCTGTATAGAATATACCCGTTTTAGTTTTAAGCATTGCAGACAATTGTGTAAGAACAGTATTTTTTAAATTCTTTTGTGGAGAGAGGATGGATGTCTTATTTCATTTCATCTTGCAGTCGATTCCAGTTATTCAAGTAGTTTTCTTGCCAGTGCAATTCAGCCTGGAACTGGAGCCTGTGGGATGCAGTGATTACAAGATCTCAGATGCCAGTGTTTTCCTTTCATAGGAAGAAACGTAAATTTAAAGCAACAGGTATTAAAACCAATAGATAGACTTTGTGCACGCACACACATATAGATGAAATAGTACCTGCAGTTTGGCAGGCGCTTTGGCTGCTTCTTGCCAGAGCTAATGCAGGGACTCTCAGCTGGAGCACTTGTCTTTTTCCCCCTCTACTGTGTCTCTGTTAGTCCCCTCAGACAGATTTTCTCCTTGCAAGCACCTCTTGTCTTGGATCTGGTTGGTCTATATTTATGGAAGTTGTGAAAGAGATTCAGCGCAGGGTTGTCACAGGATAATGGTCTCTTGTAGGTAGATAAATCCAGAACTAAAGGTTAGGTCTGCTCTGTCTCTGCTCTCTATAAGCTTGATTTTCATAGTAACTAAGTAAATGTTTTGTAGATGAGAAAATTTCATTAAAAAAAAGCTGTAGAAATCAAACATCCTTTTTTTTTTTTTTTTTTTTACAGAGAGAAGCCTGAGAATTACTTACCTGTGTTTTGGGCAGTGCCACAGGCTACTGAATCATGTCTCCAACCATGTCCCAAAAGCTGTTCTGCATGAGACGGCTCTGCAGCACACGCAGTGGGAGGTGAGCACTTGCGAACCCCTGTGAAAGCACCCTTCTAATACTGGGGGGCCGCCAGCTCTATAGAGGTGATGTAAACTGAGCCAAAAGTATTAATGCCATGATGTTTGTAAAAGCCCATTAACAGGAATATCATATTCAAGACATAAGAGGTAATCTGCCTGTGGTTGGTGAGATCCCAGCCACAGTACTTCGCAGCATGCCATACCTCAGTGCAGTTGGAGTTCCTCAAGTTGGAGGAACTCCAGAGAAAATACCAGTATTAATTATCAGCTATTACTGGAGGATCTCATGCCATGGTAGTCTAACATCTGCCACGAATGATATATGTGTAGTTGATCCTACTTTGAGGAAGGAACATGCTCYACTAGATATGTTCTCATCATCTTTTCTATCTCCTTTTTCTTTTTGTGATTCTTTGTTTTTAACAGCTAGAAATTGACTTAAACTCTGAAACATAACATCATTTATATCATCCCAACTTTGGTTAGCATTAGCTTTTGCAAAATTTGCATTCTTCAGAATATCTATCTGAATAGAGATATCTAATCAAGAGATTAGATATCAAGAGACTAGGTATCTCTAATTTATTCTGTTCCTTAGTCTCTTCAAAGGCCATATTCAGATTTAGATTAAGCAGATTTATTCACACAAATACACAAATAATGTTTCTCACATTCTCCATGAAGTTTGGTTTAAATTTGCCCAACAATAAGAAACTGCTTCAGTAGTGGCCACTTTCTCAAGAGTGGAACTGCAATTGGAGTTAATTACTGGCAAATCTATGAATTGGYTTGGAACCAAGCTAAGTTCTTTCAAAACGCCTTAGAAAAGCTTCAAGGCTGACCATCAAAAGACATTTTAAATAAAAGTTCAATGCTAGATGGCTCTAATTCCATGGAAACATTCCTATGGAGGTTGGTTTTGCAGAAGCTTTACTGTAAATATTCAAAATTTGGTGCAGAATGAGACGACCTGTGTCACATCCTGTCCTGCGYGGAGGTTTGCTTGGCGAGGGAAGAGGACAGACTAGGCAGCCAGCTGGGGCTGTATCCCGCTCTGTGCTGTGCAGCCACAGCTCAGCTCACGACGCAGGAGCAGAGGCTCCTGCCCTAACCCGTGGCTGGGCAGCGCTGCACCCTGCAGGCAGTGGCACAACGCGCAGCGCTGCCGCAGCAGAGCCGCTCCTGCAGCGGGGGAGCCCCCAGGCCGTGGCGCGGCCGGGGCAAGATCCCTAGCAGCGGCGACGAGCTGCCCGGCAAGATCCGCGTCTCTCTCAAGTGTGGCGCCTACGTCTGCTGTAGGTTGACATGTGCTCCAGTTCGGACAAGAGATGAACAAACTCTTTATCTGGAAGTGACCTCAGAACATAAAACGAACCTTGTTAAACAATAGCATGGTTATAAACCTTTGATTTGATTGCTTGCACAAGTGTGCCGTTAATAACCTACGTGTCATAACAGCAAGTCAGCAAAATATGGCAAGAGATATATGCTCAATCCTCAAGTTCATCCAAAATTTGTTCGTGACAGGATGTAAGGATAGTGGAAGATCTCATGTCATCATTTTATTCTTACTCTTGAGAGTAGTGAAATCTGATTAAGTCACTGTGTAACTTAATATTTTTATCAGTCCTTTCCAGGACTGTTCAGTTGCTGCAGCTTTGCAAGACCTTACAGCTGTACATCCCTGCTGGTTCCAGTAAGGCCATCTATGTGAGGAGGGCTGGGTGAGGCTATTTCTCAGCTCACTTAAACAGTAAAGATGAGTCTCAAAAAGATAAATTGCTGGTCACTTGGAAGAAAAGGGACTTGTGCAAGCACAGCGATAGAGCCTGCCCTGCATGACTGCATGAGGCAGAGGAAGAGCTCTCTCCTTATGGAGCTGATAAATAGTACATAGAGGCAAAGGCTGCTACCAGGATATTTGCTGCTTTGCTTACAGTACAGTTTCTGGGAACCAATAGTCCTATGAGGCTATCAATTAAAAAGATAAATTCCCAAGTGTATGCTTGATGTTGACCCAAGTGTTCCCTGAAAGCTCAAAAACCAAACAGCAAATAAAATACACCAGAAACATTTTTGAAATTACATTCTTGGAGTCAGTATCATAGTTTTCTGAGTTTGTTTAGCAATGCTAGCTGTTTTCCTCCAAAAGTGCAGTATGAAATATCAGTGTTAAAGAAAGCAAAAGCCTGTTTAGACAGCGATAGATGTTGTGGCTGTGCTACAAGCAGTGAGCTATTTAATGGACTTTGGAAACTATTTCATTTTTTCACCAAGACTGTAACAGAGGCATCATCAAGGTCTTACTGTTGTTGCTGAAAGAACAGCCATATCTGTCCCTGAGTTTCTTCAAATTCCCTTGAAGTGCGAAGCTGCTCGGAGCTGTGCAGCCACTTCCTGCCGGCGGATCCCTTTCTGCTTCCTTGGCAAGACACTGGAGCACGGTCATCGGTGACACGATTGTCTCCAGCTTCCTCCTGCRTAATTTATAATGCAGAGTAACTGTGAATTGTGATGACTAGACTGTTTCAGAGGARTTTAATAAAGAAACACATTTTAATCGGTTGCTTTATTCAGCCATCATTTTTATACTTAAAAAATACAAGAAAACCTATTACTCATCCGATGATTTTGCTCAGTTGATCATCAATGATTAAGATGAGTAAGACCCTCGTAAAGCAGCAATTCAGCACAAATGCTTCACCTGCCTCCAGCAATGAAATTAAAAAAGGACAGACTGGCAAGGGATCCTGCCCTCTGGTAGCCCATTGGAGGTTCAGCTGCGTATGAGGGTTTTTCTGTCACGCATTCCTGACAGCTTCCAGTTGCTTTTATCTGTGCTGGTCCCTTCTCTCCGCCATTTAATCATGGATCCTTTAGGGGTCGTCTTGGCTGATGGAGCAGCCTTTTGTGTTTGGCTTGGCCGGAACTGGCTTCACTGCTCTGCGCTAGTGCCCTGCATTTTCTCCTCCTGCCCTGCAGTGGGTGACACCCCCTGCATCACCAGGGCTCATGCGCTTTGAGGACAGTTTTGGTTGTGCTCTCTGCCACTTAAAGATGGGAGTCAACGCTTGTCTGCTTTCCTTTCCATAAAAGTCCATCTCTTCCTTCTCAATGAAACATTTAGACATTATTTTCCTCTTCTTGTGTCTTTCCTGTGCTGAATTTAGTTATGCTCTTCCTCTCAAAATGCTCACTGCCAAAATGGCCCATCTTCCCTTTCTTTCCTTATAGGGACACGTGGTCATTAAAACTTTGGGTGCTTATTAAATATTACACAGCTAAACAGCACAATATTGAARATAAAGTGCCAAAAGCAGTATCACGTCTTCCTATGTTCCCGCAGGCATTTGGAGATGTCAAGTATCCTAGGGACGCGAGCCAAGCAGGGAGAGAAGCCTCGGCCGCTCCGGGTTTCTCCAGAGGCCGCGGCCTGCGCGCGCAGGTGACTCGCGGCGGCGGGAGCGCGCGGCGGCGCCGCGGGAGCGCGCGAGGCGCCACGTGCGCGCGCCAGGCGCCTGCCCCGTCACGGCGGCAGCGCCGCCGGCCACGCGCCTGCCCCGCGTAGCTGCGGGCGGAAGCGCCCTGTCCAGCGCGGCCGCCAATGAGCGCGGGGGCGGGGCGGCGCGGGGCCAATGGGCGCGGGATCGCAGCAGTGGGCGGCCAATGAGCGGGGCGGGGCGGGGCGGCGCGGCGCGGCGGTGTGCGGGGGAAGCGGCGCGGGCCGGGGCGATGCGGGCGGCGGCGGCGGAGCAGGGGGGCGGCGGGAGGAGCCTCCTGCTGCTGGCGCCGCCGGCGCTGCTGCTGCTCGCGCTGCTCGCGCGGCACCTGCTCAAGCAGCGGCGCCCGCCCGGCTTCCCGCCCGGCCCCGCGGGGCTGCCGCTCATCGGCAGCATCCACGCGCTGCGCGCCGAGCAGCCGCACGTCTACCTGCGGCGGCAGAGCCAGCTGCACGGGCAGGTACCGGCCGGGCGGGCGCGGGGCCGGAGCGGAGCGGGAGCCGGGCGGGCTCAGGGGCGGGGAGCTGCTGCCAGCCCCGCCGAGGGAGTTTTCCGCTYCTTCCGCCTTTTGTCCTTCCCAGGACATCAGCGGTTTCGTTCCATACCGTTACTTTCGGGCAGACTGAAGCAACTCTGCTCGCTGTGAGCCTTGCTCAGTCCCGCCGGCACTCCATAGTTAGCCCCGAGCAGCGGATGGAGCTTGCCTTTCTAATTCCTTTCCTTTCGGTAGGAGAAAAACAAGTAAAAAGTGTTTCAAGCAAAATAACAGGATGGATAGTCGGGAAAGAGGAAGGAAAATACATCATCAAGAACGTTAAGTGTTTCTGCTTGCCTGCGATGCTGTGAGCAGCTCTAACCATCTCCTGTCAGAAAGGATCCTGTGGAGTTTCAGGAAACTTGAGGGATGATGGGGGGGCTCTGGAAAAATACAACCAAGAGACTTTTTATAAAGCAACACTGTGGCATAATGCAGGAGGAAAGATAAATAAGCTAAATCAAGGTATACAAAAATCACAAGTGGCCTGGAAAAGTGTATCAGAAGTATATTCTTGTTGCTTGCAGAATAGAATAGGGGAAAAAACCAAACTTTCTAAAAGGAAATAGTTTTCACAGAATGCGTAATTAGACAAAAAAATTCATATAGTAGCCATCTCTGAGACCAAGGAAAAAATGTAGATCTGTATAAAGGAAAAAGGGGATGTAAAATTTTAAATCTTGAAGTTTTGGCTAACTTTTAATTTTTAGAACTTAGCATAAGATTTTTATTTTGTTTCTCGTGCCTGCGCCCTCACAGGCCTTGGCAGGATTTACAGCATTTTTCAGCAGGATTTACAGCAGGATTTACAGCATCTTTCTGCAAAGCACCAACCCCAGCTGACTGCTCCTGAAACAGGACGAGGTGGGACTCGGGGCAGTGCTGCTGTTCACTGGCCGTCACCACGGCTCTCTGTGCTGCTTTCTGGTGGGTCATCCCGGTTTTAGGGACCAGATGGAGCCTGTTTCCATGACTGACACCACTTCCATGCCTGCCGTTACAACATGACATTTGGGAAGGCTTCACATGTGACTTCTAAGGTCGTGCTGCCCTTAGTGGAATGAATCCRTTGGAATTCACGTTTTCCAAGGGAGGGAGGAGGAGGAGCAGATAGGGCAATGAAACTTGCCTTCATGCTGTAGAGTTGGTCCCAACAAATTCAAAAAGTAGGCAGGATTTTATATCTAGCTTTTCTATATATGTATATAAATAAAAATATTTAAAAACTATGCAGCCTATCAATGTCAGGGTAAAYATTTTTTTCAGATACATGTGCATTGTGGTAGCAAATGACATTTTTYTTAGTGATTGTATGAAATCATCCCCTCTCCTTGCTTTGGAGAGCTGGCCCCATAGTTGCATTGCAAAGCAGGGAATGCCACGTGGGCAAATTTCTGCCTCTTGTGACAGATTTGACAAATTACCTCACAGCAAAGTCTCCGACACCACTCGTGGAGGCTCCAGTTGTCTGCTTGCACTACTGAAGTTTATTCAAGTTTGCCTTTTGCGCTTGTGTTTAGTGTTGTCCCACCTTTTCACTATTTGCTGTCATTATTTGGTCTTGAGATTTACTTGTAGTAACATTTTACAATATTTATTTTTTCTTTCAAAGATTTTCAGTCTCGATCTTGGAGGTATATCTGCGATTGTACTGAATGGCTACGATGCCGTAAAAGAATGCCTTGTCCATCAAAGTGAGATTTTTGCGGACAGACCATCTCTTCCTTTGTTTAAGAAGCTGACAAACATGGGAGGTATGTGCTATCTTGAACATATATTTTTCTTTTTCTCCATGGATAGGTTTAAGGTCACATGAAACATTTGCTTTAGGTATTTTCTTTACTTCCTTATATCCTCGTATAAAATACTGAATGTTTCTTTGAAGATATTCAATATTCTTTTCAGTTCCGGGAAGAATTGCCACACTTGGACTCTGGAACATAGCAAAAAACAAGTAATTCTTTGCCTCTAAGTCTCCCCTCCCTACAAGTTAGTCACAGTGATGGGCTGCTTTGTTCCTGTCATCAATTAAATTTGAAGTATCTGATAGGTTTTTTGGCTACGGTCAGTGAAAGCATCTTCTGAAGTAGCTACACTTACCACCTCCTGCTAGAATTTTTCCCGTAGTTCAGTGTAGAGTTTAAGTTTCATTTTCTTTTGTATCTGATTGTTCCTTCTTTGTAGATTTAGTTCTCATAAGGTGCCAGATTTGCTTTCTATAGCCTCCTTAGGAACATTTGCATTAGATGGGCCTTTAACATACAAAGTCATTTGGATGAGAAATTTTCAGGATCTAGAAGAATTTCCGAGGTTACAACTCAAACAATTTTAGTAGTTTAGAACTTCACCGTGGCAWTTTTTGCTGTTTGTTTTCTACCTTTTATGCTTGGCTTTGTAGCATCTCTGTTGCACTACTTATTTCACTTTGTTCTATACAGCTTTTAGCTAAAGSCCAAAAGTTGCACCTCTCTGCTTTGGAATGCATTTTGTAATGCTTTTCCTTCATGTGCTCAATACTCATTTTCTTAATTTTCTTTAAACTGCTTCATTTAGGTACTTCCAGCACAGCCTGATTCTTTGCAGGACASTTCAGGAGCTGCACTCACTTAAAATGCTCTTGTTAAAGGCAACCTGCTGCCATCACCGTCCCGCTGCTCTGGGGCAGGATCCTTAGCCACTGCTCCACCTCGCATCTAATGCTCACCTATGTAGAACACATCAAAACTGACCTGATATTTCTTTACTCAAAGCTACAAATTCTGTTACCCGAGGAGGATAGGTGTGCCAGGAGTAGTACAGAGAAAAATTTGAGGCAGGGAGATCATTTATATAATCAATCTTCCAGTCATCATTCCTATATCAATTTACTTTTAGAGTGAACTGAYGTTTTAAATAATTTCATCTCATGGGGGAAAATAAAGATTTGTATAAAATACTGTGTCAAAATATTTTTTCAGGCTTACTGAACAGTAAATATGGCAGAGGATGGACAGAACATCGCAAATTAGCTGTAAATTCCTTCCGAATTTTTGGATACGATCAAAGGTCCTTTGAACACAAAATTTCAGAAGAAGCCGTGTTTTTCCTTGATGCCATTGATACGTACAAAGGCAAACCGTTTGATCTCAAGCACTTGATAACAAATGCCGTTTCAAATATTACTAACTTGATAATTTTTGGAGAACGTTTTACATACGAAGACACTGAATTCCAGCACATGATTGACATTTTTAGTGAAAATGTTGAATTAGCTGCTAGTGCTTCTGTGTTTTTATATAATGCTTTTCCTTGGATTGGTATCTTGCCCTTTGGGAAGCACCAGCAGCTGTTTAAAAATGCCGCAGAAGTCTATGACTTTCTTCATAAGCTCATTGAGCGTGTCTCTGAAAATAGGAAGCCTCAGTCGCCTCGACATTTTGTAGATGCGTATTTAGATGAGATGGATTGCAATGAAAATGATCCAGAATCTACATATTCAAGAGAAAACTTAATTTTCTCTGTTGGAGAACTCATCATAGCTGGGACAGAAACCACCACAAATGTTTTAAGATGGGCAGTGTTATTTATGGCTCTATATCCAAACATTCAAGGTAAGGTTTTGGAGTTTTTGAGGAACCGATACACTTTCCTACTGCGAATTTAAAACGCTTTTTCAAAGTAGTAATTTGAAGTGCTATCCATAGTCTTAACCAAAAAAGACTTGTAAATATTACTACATTAGATCATTTTCTAAATATATTATGGGCGTATGTAAAAAGCTTATTTTATTTGCAGGTGAAGGAGATATACTTAGTATAAGGAAAAAATCTTAGTGTTTTTTGAATAACTTGTAATGAAGTTTTAATGTTTTTTTAATAAAGAGTTTATCTGGAGATAACTTAGGGCATCTACCAACCAACTTAAGGTATCAGCAAAAATTATGCAAATCAAGTTTTGGCAAAGTGTTTTGGTACAATTTCTTTTTATCCTTAAGAGCCTCAACTCATAATAGACTCAGACATTTTAATACGTGTAGAAAACAGCACTTAAAAATAAAAAGATGTGTTAGTCATTCTGAAGTGAGGTAGTGATATGGATGCTTGCCAGTCGAGACGTTTTSTGCCTGAACACTTTTCGTATTAAAACCTTATCAGGGCTTTGTTCAACTAAGGATTTTCAGTTTTTGGAGAAAAAGCAGACTGAATGACTCAAACATTAAGACTTTTAGAAAATTACTGTTTATACTTGAACCAAGTAATATTGCCCTAACATCAGTTTCATCAAATATAGAATAGGGATTACATCACTACCCAAGGCTGTAAGGCTCYTCAGGGCTGAAATGCTGCATGGGAAACAGTTGGACAACTGGGTGGCGAGAAGCCCCATGGAATTCAGCAAGGGCAAATGCAGGGTCCTGCACTTGGGGAGGAATAGCCCTGGACACCAGTTCAGGCTGGKACTGACCTGCTGGAGAGCAGYCCYGCAGAGAGGGACCCGGGCGTCATGGTGGACGACAAGTTGACCATGAGGCAGCAGTGTGCCCTGGTGGCCAAGAAGGCCAACGGGATCCTGGGGTGCATTAAGAAAAGCGTCTCCAGCAGGTCGAGGGAAGTGATCATCCCCCTCTACTCAGCCCTGGTGAGGCCACATCTGGAGTACTGTGTCCAGTTCTGGGCTCCCCAGTACAAGAGGGATGTGGAGCTGCTGGAGAGAGTCCAGCGCTGGGCTACCAGGATGATCAGGGGGCCTGGAACATCTGCCATATGAGCAAAGGCTGAGGGAGCTGGGCCTGTTCAGCCTGGAGAAGAGGAGGCTGAGGGGGGACCTGATCAGCGTGTACAAATACCTCAAGGGAGGCAGTGAGGAGGAGGRGGCGGCCTCTTTTCAGTGGTGGACAGCGATAGGACTAGAGACAACGGCCGCAAGCTGAGGCACCAAAAGTTCCACAGGAACTTGAGAGAACACTTTTTGACAGTGAGGGTGACAGAGCCCTGGAACAGGCTGTCCAGAGAGGTTGTGGAGTCTCCTTCTCTGGAGATCTTCAAAACCTGCTTGGATGCAGCCCTGTGCCATGTGCTATAGGTGACCCTGTGTGTGCAGGGCGGGGACTTCAACTAGAGGATCTCTAAAGGTCCCTTCCAACCTTAAGCATTCTATGGTTCTATGACACATACATACTCCATATTTTGTTAAAAAAGGATGCGTGTTAAGTGCTATAATTAGTCAACAGGTATACATATTTTTCAGTCTAAGAATATATGATTCTGTATTGTAAAAAATCAAAGAATCATGGCAGAATTAAACAAGGGAAAGTTTAAGTAACTTATTTAAGAGTTATCTATGTCCACTTACATATTTGATGTACATTGTCTTGGCAGTCTCATCTTTGTTCTCTTAGTTTAAGAGTTTAAGATTACTAGTGTATATGCTGGTAGGAATTCCTAGTAGCAGAATGAGGAAAACAGATCCTGAATTTAAGAGTGTATAAGGAACTATATTGTCRTGTAAGTTATTTCATGTTTCAGTAATCTTTTAAAAGAACATATTTTATGTATGTATTTTATCTTTTTATTCAAAATATTACACAGTAAACAAAAAGATGGGTCTTTTTTTTCTCCTTTTTCAAACAGGACAAGTTCAAAAAGAAATCGATTTAGTCATTGGCCCCAACAAAATGCCTGCTCTAGAAGAGAGATGCAAAATGCCGTACACCGAGGCTGTCCTGCACGAGGTTCTGAGGTTCTGCAACATTGTCCCGCTGGGCATTTTTCATGCAACTTCTAAAGATACTGTTGTGCGGGGCTATTCTATTCCCGAGGGCACTACAGTCATTACCAACCTCTACTCTGTTCACTTTGATGAAAAATACTGGAGCAACCCAGAAGTGTTTTTTCCTGAGCGCTTTTTGGACAGCAGTGGGCAGTTTATCAAGAAAGATGCGTTTGTTCCTTTTTCACTAGGTAAGAGCAATTCCTTCCATTCTCCCTTTTCGGAAATCTTGACATGTACAGTATGCAAGTGATGGCAATAAATCAGGAATGGGCAGCCTCATGTAGAACACAATTCTGGTGAAATAGGTATTTCAAAACTATATTCTATATAAAGCTTATCTTTTATATAGATAACTGCTTTGTTACTGAGGTAATAAAGGCAATACTATCTTTTTATCTGAATGTTCTGTACATTTCATGTCGTTGTGGTAAATAAATGATCTTGTTTAGCAATTCATGTGCCTAGTCCTTTGCTGCTAAGGTTGTTACATAGAGGCAATGAATGCAGCGAACTTTCAAATATCAGCATTTGGACCCACAACAGAAACTGCAGGTATTTTCCAGAGCTGGTTTGGGTGTCAATATGCATCACTTGGGGAAGTATTTGGAGGCTCCTAAATCATCTTTATGGGCCTGTCTTTTGATGCCTATGAGGCAGGCCAATTTGTTTCACATATTGTTAGTCACCTAATAATTAGGCTTCGGGCTACGTCTGCAATCAGTGAAAAGACACTGCCTTGTCTACAGGATAACTTAGTTTACATATCAGGGATATTCTTCAAAAATTTTAAGAGATACCAAAGCAATTCCCTTAGACCAGAYTAACAACTTCCAAATGGCTCAAGTTAGATATGATGAATTCCTTGAATTTTGGTGCTTTTTACCTTTTCTATTCCAGATGTTATTATCCTTCATTAATCTGTTTCTTCCACAAACCACCTTTCCCATCTGCAGCTCATCACACCTGAAATGGGAAGTAACATTTCAAGGCATTATCCAGACCTGCTTCAGCTCTTTTTACTTGCTATTATATCAAGTAATAGTGATTGACCACGGCTGTAGTTAAGGAAACAGTAGGATACAAAGGCTGAGATTCAGTATCACTTGTTTAAAACATTCTTTCTCTAGTGTGGCTTTTCAAGGGCTAATGGATTATCTGAGTACATTTCAYAGGATTAGCATCAATAGCTAGTAGTGAAAATTTCTAAAATGATTTTCGTGCCACAAATTTTCATCTCTCCTTTCCTACTAAGGAATACTAACATCCAAAAAAAAACCCCACAGAAATGACTATTTTCATTCATAATATGAGTGAGAATAATTAAACATTTTTAAAACCATCTCTTCTAAAATCTTTTTTTTCCCCCCTCTCTAATCCAGGAAGACGACACTGTCTCGGAGAGCAGCTYGCCCGAATGGAGATGTTCTTGTTCTTCACTTCCCTGCTGCAGCGATTTCACCTGCGCTTCCCTCCGGGCTCGGTCCCAGACCTGAAGCCCAGGCTGGGGATGACCCTGCAGCCCCAGCCCTACGTGGTGTGCGCCGAGCGGCGGTGAAGGGCGAGCGGCTCCGCGCGGGCCGCCGCGCTCTGGGGCTTGACCTCGCGGCCGGACCATGTTTCCTTCTCAGGAGAGCAAGATTTCTAAGGACTTCTCTCAGTTTGTGCATAACTTTCATGGCTTATCACATATTTATATTTATTTGTTTTTCACAAAAACACACACACACCCCGACCAAAAATATAAAACCTGTCCTGTATTTCATTTTTTAACTCTGTCAGTCTATTTTGAATCTAACTTCTGATTCTGGATGTAATGTAATGTAACATGTAATTACTTAGTAGGTCACTTTACTTTGGATGCATATTTTTATAAATAGGGAGAATATGACACAATTTTTATACTTGTTCTACGTGCCTTATCTGTGGAAAAAAYATATATATTACTTTTTTACATTAATGTATATATAGCAAAAATATTAAGGGTATCTATTTAAATTTCTGTAATTAAGTATCCAATTATATCTTTTCCAGCCTTGACAAATGAATTGCAAGTCAAACATTTTAATCCTTCCTCTACCTTGCCCCACCGTCTTCATTTTCTTCCGTTTTTCTTTCCCCATCAGTTTTCCATTCTTTTCAACTTCCAGTCCAATTTCTTACTTACCAGTTAAGTCTAACTTACCAGTTTTCATCTTCCCAGTGGGTTATTTTCCTTCCCACCAGGAACTTGTGCAAGGCCCTGCCGAAGGGAGGGGAGCGGGACCTCAGCATGAGGCTCAGAACAAAAGCCCCGCTGAGCAAACAGTTACTTAAGGACAGGGCCAGAGATCAGGCCCTGCTGTTTGCATAGTCTGCGCTTAGGCTGGGAGCTGCAAAGAAAAAATACCCAACCACTCGGGGCCTGGAAGCTTTTTCTGAAGGCAGAAATTGACATTTTCTGTTGACACCGAGCAGACAAAAAAACCCTTAGTTTTGGAAGAGCAAAAAAGGAGGAGGAAACGAAGCTAATGCCATCCCATTTCTGTAACGGCCTAATGGAGAACTGCTGCAGCTCCACTTTAAACTCCCTCCTTGTAAGCTTAGGTTGGACAGCCTGAACTTTGTAGGTATTCAGGTTTTCCACCAGGGTAACAAGAAGTCTGGGATACCCTTTAGTTAAACATGTTTGAAATAAACATTAATGGAAAGAGGGGAAAAAATAAAAAAAGTCAAGAACCAGTTCTCATACACACAAAATTACCTGAGTAGTGATAATTCCATTTTGCTGATGTATAGGGAGATATAACTCTTCCCAATCCGTAATTCTTCTAATGAGAACTATATTGATTATATGTCATTCTGGTTTCTAAATCAAAATGCCTTGTAAAAGCTTTAGGACATCAATCCAAACTTGTGCCATCGTGTGCCAACTTACAGCCTCATTAAGCAACCAACGGCACTTGACAAGCTGTCTTYTCTGTAAGCCTCTACCAACCCGAGTTGCATTATACAAGTTCATTGTGTCAGTTTTCCTCAGTATTTTTCCTCAGGTGTAACTAACTTCAGATTATCCTAATGGTCCAGTTTAACCATATGACATATGGACATCCCACCTTTTTCCAGCACTCTGGAATTTCTCCATGAGATCAGGCTTTTCTAGGCAGCAGCAGCCTACAGCTCTCATTGACCAGGCAGCTCTTCCCAAGTTCCTGGTGAAAGTCTTCCCTGATATGAAATACCTGGCAGAACTGGCTGCTGTCGAGCATCGCGCTGTGATTAAAGCGGTCGCTGTGTGAGGAAGATTCCCTGGACTGGACTTCTGCCCAAATACAGAACAAGGAGGCCTTGAAGAGTTCATCTTCTCAGCCTTTTTGCCAGCAATATTGCATTCTAAAAATCCCTGCGATTCCCATTACGAATGGATTGGTATCATTGAAAATGAGATGTCTTGTATTCTTGTTTGTTGCTTTCGTAAGAGGCTTAAATGTTCCTATGTTTTAAGGACTTGAAATTAAGTTGGAACCCTTGAAATTAAGTTGGAACCTTTTTTTTTTTCTCTTTCCTTTTTTCCCCCCTTTCCATATACTCTTGTTTCAGAGCCTCAACCAGGTGGTTGAGGGTTTGTTGCTGTTTTTTGAGCTGGGTTTCAGAATTCAAAACTTAGCAAGATCAGATCAAGCTTTTGCTCTAGAAATCTTACCCCTTACCTTCCTGCAACACAGACTGACAATCAGCAGCTTCTTTCATTTCTAGAGCCCTGAGATGTTCTTGAAGGCAGGTCAGCTTCCTTGATGCCGACGGCCTTACAGTAAAGCAGGATACAGGCGCAGCGGGCACTTTGGGAAGGCTGCCAGGCTCCCGGAGACATTAGGCTTGGGACGTTCTCCTGAGAAGTAGCCTTCCAAATAGATTAAATCCATTAAAATAATGGAGCAAATCAGGGATGTGCAATCTAATCCAATAGTTTGGAATGACCGCAGCAAAGCAGGTGGCTGCTTGCCCAGAATTTTGCATGCAAAATATAACAGCCCATAGTCGTACTCAGAAAACAGAAGTACTGCTTATTCCCTGGCTGTTTTCAAGCATACTGGCTAATAATTGAGCTAGTAATAAAAATCTTTAAATAAGGCCGGGGTCTCAAGACCCTCTACGCATCCTTAAGAGGGTTTGCAGGGTTTAGCCTGCAGCTCCTCCCTTCCTGCCATCTACATCTGCTCCCTCTCCTTCTGCCCACTCTGGACACTGCACATCACTTTGACTTACTTTGATTGCTTTGCCCAAGTATTTAAAGCTTTAGGGCATCCCACTTAAGTCTCATGTTCTCTAAAGTCAAAGAAATCCCCTTGAATTTATTTAATCTTTCTCCTTGTCTCTAGGCCATGTCTCCTGCATTTCTGATCAGTCTCACTGACTCGTACTGGGATTCTTCAATCCAGCTGGCAGATAATTTTTTCTGGGTTGTAACATCTGAAACTAGAAACTGCTTTGCTAATGCTTTATTTATGCTGACTAATAACAATGTGATTACAAACCCATTCTCAAAAACAGGCAAGATTGCTCCTTAGTTGACTTATCTGATAGAGAGGAAGCCGAGTTRATGTACACATCGGATCAGCATGCACGGATGAGTCAAAGCCAGYGGGATCAATGTCACCATAAAAGGCAGCAGACCAGGACTGTTTGAGGGAACAGCTTTTCGTGTCCCACTGGCAGGGCTGACGCACAAGTCAGAAAGCAACCTGCATTACATAAGGGCAAGGTAACGTCCTGCTCACCTTTGCTGATATTTTGGTGTAACATGCATATATTAGGTCAAAACATTAGTCTTTGTTTTATAAAGAAGTAAAATTGTTAGACTTTGATCTCATCCAAGGTGCAAAGGATTTTGCTGATCTGCAGAGATGACTCAGACGTGAATCATTACCTGTTTTTTGGCAATATCTTCAGGACATGGACGAGCGACAAGGTGAACAGTAGGAATCATGTGAAACAATGAGACAAACTGGTTCCACGCGTACAGCAAATCACAGACAGCTTCTGGCTGTAACCTTGTTAATGGGGACTTACCTCAAGGAACATTGCATCGGCCCTTCCACTCTGCACATGAGGCTCACCATGCGGCTCTGCTGAGCGGGAAGGACCCGCGTGRGGAGGATCCAGGTAACTCCTGAGCACGTAGAGCAGCGCCGTAGCATCCAGGAGCCTCCCGAACGCACAGAGCACACGAGGCCCTTGCAGGAACCAGGCTTTGCAGCCCAGTTCTGCACGTGCCCAGGAAGGCGGTGAGGAGAGGGAGCGTCAAACAGCAAATGTCACCGCAAAAGGGCACGTCTGCCCTAGCAGCACAGGCTTCAGTGCAGGCTAGTTCAGCCCCCTTCTTGCCAGCGCACTTGGCTTCAGCAGGTACTTTAATGCTGTTCTGCAAGGGGCTTTTCCTTGTTCCACGGCATCCTTCGGGAGCTGTGAATCACGGTGAGATGAGGGATTTCAGTTTGCTGCAGTTGCCCGTTAACAGGAGTGAGCATTTGGCTGGAGGAAGAGTCTGCCCTACGTGGGCCACGCTCTCTGGACAGCGGCCCGGTCACCTGCACGGGGCCCCTCCTCGAGGGACYGAGACCCCTTCAGCCGGGGTCACGGCTGCTCCGGCAAGCAGTCCCTGAGCTGGCAAACGCCTGCACCTGTTTGCCTTGCTCCAAGGAAAACTGTTAGGCACATGCTATATATATACATATATATACACACACACATAAAAAATATATGAAAATATATATATATACACATATATATACTTAAATATTTTATATATATTTTGTATGTATTATATATATGATTATATATATAACATATTATTGATATATGATAATATTTTTTTTTTATATATAAAGGTATAACTCTGATTCACTGTTAAACATATCTTCAAAGAAATTATATCTTGGAAACATCTAACTGGAATTACATCCTAGCAGCATGGTTTAAACAGTGTAGTTAGTTCCTTGTTTTATCATTTGGATGTTGTATGTCTAGTGTATAAGCAAAACATGAAATAAGAGAGTTGCTGGCAATGCTGTCACCAGATATAAATGCGGCCAGCGCTTTAGTAAGAAATACATTGCTATTTATGCCTTTTATTCTCTTTTTTATAATACTTTTTAATAACCATTCTTTTAAACAGAGAAGAATGGAAATTGTCAGGTAAAACACTATCACAGCAAGTTCAGGCAAGAGCATTTGCATCCCTTGATCCATCCGAGCAAGACGGAAACTAAACGGCATTCAAAGGGCTTTTCTACATCCAAGCAAGTGGGCTAAACGCAAGTGCTGGGAACGCAGCGTAAGCGACGCGCGTCAGCTCTGCTGCCTTGGAGCGCGGCCGCAGCTAAAGGCAACGTGCAGCCCAGTGACCGCGGGGAGGTGCCGGCTGGGATCCTCTTAGCCACACACCTGCCTGCCTTTAACACTGCTCGCGTGGTACAAAAAGGCAGTGCTGGGCTGGGAGGGCAGCAAACGGGGAGTTTTCACTGATTGTATAAGGACAGCAATGCTCATCTCTGATCTTCTGAGTGGATCCAGGAGAGCTTGTTAGTGCAAAATAAAAGAATTCCTTCTTGGTTATTAAACTGGCCAATAAGACAGAGCAGAAGAGCAGAATAAAACTTGACTGGTGCAAGCCAGTGCAATGCAATATGCAGAGGGTCACCTTCAGCAGGTTACCCCTTTTTCAAGTCAGCTGACMAACGTAACCACACAGATGCTAACATACATTTAGCAACTTGCACGTGTGCACTGGTTTTTATTTGCATCAACTGCACAGCATATAAATGTTCACTATTAAAAAGTGCACTTTTAAAACCAGTTCTATTTGCAGCTGGTACACAGTGATTACACACTTGCAGCTTAACTTATGCACTTTTTTATTTCTGCACTTAGCCCTACAGTGGTAGGAGTCCTCCAACACCTTTTGTGGATTGTCTCAGGTATTTAAATAACTCAGCAATGGAGAAAGCACCGCACGACAGTGCTGCTTACGCAGCTGCTCCGCTCGCCATCCGTGTGCGTTAGCGCGGACACCTGACCCGAAGGCAACGAACGCTACGTCTGTGATGGAAGACAAGACGTGGGACACGAATACACTAGTCACCTGGAAACAGTAACTTGTCTCTTTTTTTAAAAAAAAACAACTCTTTAATTCTCCTAAAGTTTTACATAGAAAGAATAAATGAAGAACTATCTTATTCTCTCAAAAATTAACACCTAAAATTGATGCAAAATAAGATCTATTATGTGGTTGACTTGCTTTTAAACAGGAACCTGAGTAAGGGCAAAAATTATAGCATTAAGATTAAAAGAATAAAATCCCTTAAAGTAGCTGAACAAGTTTTTAATGTTCTACCACAGAACAGCAAGGCAACCGCTCATAACGGCCTTGTATTCAATGATTTATGAACACCCACTGCAAACCTGAATATTTTCTGCAAAAATAAAACATCAGATTATGCGCAATAATAAAAAGCATCAGAATAGATGCACCTGGACCTTTTCCTTCTCAAACACAAATGCCAGAACGCAGCGTTGGCGCCGCAGTTGCCCCGAGACGGCCGCGTCAAGCACCCTGCTGCGCCAAGCAGACACCCCACAGCAGGCTGGCACTGCAGCAGCAACGTGGCGTCCATAAATGCACTGACTTTCTCTTATTCATGTTCAAAAACAACATGAAAGACACAACTCAAACATGGTGAGGATTCACCCAGCATTTCCTTGTTAGCAAAGAGTTCTTGCCACTTTGGTAACTGAAGTCACTGAATGTTTTTAAAAATTGCAGGTACCTCAAGGAAAATAAGAGTTCTGTATTCAGCAAGGCAGCATTATACAGGATATTTTACACCAGTAAGGCATAAAGAACTTTGCATCATGGTATACAATACTCAAACCTTGGAATAAAGTCTCATATTCTGTGTGGTGAAAGTGCATAGGAGGGGGATTCCACTGAAGTAGGGAGAATCCTCTCACAGTATTAAGGCCTTTCAGCGTTATGCAAACTGTCAGTCCAAAGTCAGCACAGTGAAAAAGTGCAGAGGCTTCCTGCTGTCACACTGCACAGCACTCAGGGGTGCTCAGCCTATCTTTTCTTCTCCCAGCTGTCGCTCATCTTCCTCATCTGCTTCCTCGATAACCTGAATTTCATCTGCTTGAGGTAAGGATGTGATCTCGGGGAGCAGTTTAGCTCCTTCGACTTTATTTTTTTCCTCTTCTTCAATTATTTTCTTCCATATTTTGTGGTTTTCACTCAGATGGTGCATTAGCTGGCAAAATATTCGTCGTCTGCCCTTTTTCCTTTCAGCTTCTGTAAAATTGTAAACATCATATTTGACAGTTGGAGCTGCAAAATGGAGCAATTCTTTCCCACATACAAAAGCCAGTGCTATACTGTGAAAGAGGGCTTTGAGTGAAAAACAGCCAATAAAGGATGGATTCTCTGCCACAGTATTTATATGTTGGCATGATAAAATACAAGTTTCTACCTCAAATTGCAAGACTCCTGTCATTAACAAAAATTTAGGAAGTGTAAGATTTGTATATGAAGAAGCCAGATCTCAAAACAAAAAATATTTAAACTTCACAATTTAAACCATTGTTGCAATGTCTGGATAGGAAGCCCATATATGCCAACTGCAAAATAGACTCTTACTTAAAATGAGATCATCTTCTATTTCTTCCTCATCACTCTCCAGCTGTGCTCCATCCTCTTCCTCAGCACTTTCTGCGTCCTGCTCTTCATCGACCCACTGGCCTGGAAGCAACCCAGCTGCATTATAGGAATTACAAAGGGGACCAACTATGTGAGTGATAAAAGATTCCTGCAGTTTTGCAAGTTGTGGAGAAGAGCGATCCATGAAGGGACTTATAGGCAGTCCAAGACTTGCTTCTTCATCTCCCTGCAGAAGAGAAAATATAAGATAGAGAGCCTGCCACAAAATTAAATTTTTAATTGTGAAAATATTTTTAAGGACCAAGTAAATATCACACAGACTGTATCTTTTTAACAGAGGCAGTAATAGCCGGACCCAAAAGACAGGTGCAGTTAAGACTGTTCATCAGAGACCCACATTGCATCAGTGCAGCGCAGCCCGGCATCCTCTCCCCAGCCTTGCCGCGAGGAGCSCCCGTGCAGGGCCCTGTGCAGCCGGGATGGGAGCTGCAGGGAGCCAGAGCCTTCCCGGCCGCTCTCCAGGCAGCGAGCGGGCGGAAGGGGAAGGCGAGCGGCTGCGCTAAGGTGCCGTGGGAAACACTTGCCCCCAGAGGGGCTAAGAAGGAAGGCAAGCCCAACACCTAGAGTAATTATTTTCATTTTATAAACGGGCAAATAGTAATTTAGAGGGTAGCCACTGCACAATTCTGAGTTATAAATACCTCTCCTGACACTTGGGTGGGACCTGATACTGTTTTATGAACAAGCTTTGCCTTAAGGCACCTCTTAGAGTACTAAGGTCTGGCACTTCAGATCATTTCTCTTGTTTAAATCTCCCAAGTATTTTTGTAATTTACATGTATCTTCCTAGTTTGGAAAACCCTTTTCAACCCAATCTCTACTTACTGCCTCTAGCAGTTAACTCTTCAAAGTTGACCAAATACCGAAAAACTACACTGATAGTAAAAAYGTTAGGATACACATTTTGGGATGCTTACAGAAATTGTAGTTGTAAAAATGGACAATTCTTCACACTGTTTCCTATTAATAGTGATAAGAGACAATTCTTTACCAAAGTTCCACCAAAAAAACCACACCTTCCCAAAGAAGGGAGACTTTGACCTGCATCAGGGCCAACAGGGAGAACAAAGCAAAACAAACTCATAGCTGAAAAATGCCCAACGCTGGTGGCAACCGGAGGTGGGAGCACAGGAGCGCGAGGGCCGCCGCGACCCGCGAGCGCGGGCCAGGCTACCTGCTCGTAGAACTCCCTGACGATGCCGTCCGTCCAGCGCAGGTGCAGCTCCCGCGCCTTGGCCGGGCCGTTGATGTCTGCCAGCTTGATGCAAATCTGACACACCAGCAGGCGGTCGTTCTCGTTGCTCCATTCGATACCGTGACTATTGATATCGTTGGCCTGGTTTGGACATGCACATTTTTAAAATTAAATTAAGGCTATTCATCTGCACCCACACACATTGCACTCTTTTCTCATATCATTTTCTGATTTATATATTTTAATTCTTCATCTTTTTTGATCTTTCAGGGTATGGAAACATGAGATATTATCAAGGTCAGATAATCTCATTGGAACTCCTAAAGATTTAAGGAAATTGACGTTCACGGATCAGGAAAAGAGCCGACTGCCTCCTCCCTGCAGAGGCAGGTGCTACAGTCTCCTGGGCGCCACTACCATTTTGTTCGTAAGCTAAAGCCATACCCTTCATTTGAATCTTGAAATACCACCTCCAGTTACTATGGTTTTTTACTATTCATARTCAATTTTTAAATGTCAGGATATTCTGCATTTGTACATTTTTGAAACATTTAGGCCAGAATTCAGTTGCCATTTTACACAGTCACTGGTTTGGCTCCAGCTAATGCTGCAGAAGGTCCCTTGTGTCCTGTGTCACATCTGCCAGCCCCACAGGAACAGCTATGGCTCAGCAACTGAATTCAGCTCATTAAGGATGACCACAAATATCTTTGATGACTTTTTTTTCAGAAATTAAGTATATTAGCATAAATGGCATTAAGAATCAAGGTCTCAGTCTATGCTAGTACTTTTGAATACATTAGTTACCTTACACAAGGTAACTAAATCACAGCAATTTCAATTAACAAGGCAATCTACTTGTTTTGTGGTAGAGAGACGAGTTACAGCAAGTTTAAATAATCTAGAATTTCAAAGCAAATTATTAATAGCAACAACTGTTGAGCAACAAGGCCAACATCAATATATTATGACCAGCTTAGTTAAGACAGTAAAATGTAACAAACCTTGGCATTAAATTCAGCAAGGAAATCAAAATGCTTCTTGAGATCTGTGGCAAGGATCGCTTCAATCACTAGAAACCGGAATCGCTTGAATTCTACATGATCAAGATTTGATAAAAAGTTGTATTCTGGTCGTGATAAGAAAAGATTCCAGGCAGAAGCAGCRTGATGATTTTCTAAAACTGATCTGTCATTGTAGAGAACAGCCTACAAAAGGAGACAATCACAAGTATCAAAGTCAGGCTTTGAAATTGCAATTAAATATTCTGAAGCATAAGGGCTAGCCACCAATATGACTCTTTATTTATTTTTAATGAAGCTGTACCAGAAATGCCTTATAGTTTTAAGTGCTAAAATAAACCAAAAATGGCAGATAGGAGGAAATGGGTAAAAGGCAGAAAGCAAAGGAGTTTTTCTTTTTTCCTTAAAAGAAGTTTCTTGTAAAGCAGGCCCACTTCAGAAAATGATTTCTACAGCCGCAGACAAGCAAAACACACAGGCACTTCAGAATTTGTCAGGACCAACAGTATTATTCAAGTAAATGCAAATTATTTCCCCTGCGTCAGAGATTGGACAAAGGCTCCCTAGGCAGGCAACAGCAAGGACAGGGAAGAAAAGAATCTTCCCTATTTTCTGATTTGAGGGAAAGATAATTTCCTGTTTAATCCCATTTCCTACCTGAGGTGCGTTTGTAGCCACTAGGAAAGCATTTGTGCGGCCGGGGTGATCGTAATCGTGCATGGCAGCCGCTACGTAGAGCGCCATCAGCTCCAGGGCAGGGATGCTCGACGCCAGGCACCCGTAGCTGCCGTCCGCAGGAGGGCAGCTTTTGGAGGAAATGTAGCTCACCTGGAGCGGGGACACRCCGCTGCCTTCATCTAGGAGATAGAAAGGATAACAATAAAAATATACAGAACATTCTTTTATTTATATTTTAAACATTTACAATGCGATCAGAGATATCTCCTCCTCAACTAACTGCCAGTTTCTCCCATTTACATACCTACGAGGGGCTGATACCACTAGTAATACTTCAGAGAAGTTCCTGGTAAGGTAGAAACATCAAATGGAAGGATTGTTCAGCCAGAGGCCCTAGTTGGTAGAGAAGTTATGGCATTTTTATCCTGATGGTCTTTTTATGTATCTTGAGAGCTGGCAGGTTAAAAATGAAGCAGTCATCGTCTTAAACAGCTGAAACGCCACTGGCTGGAATGACCTCTTCAAAGCTGAACCACAACTGGACCAGCATGTCCAAATGTAGCTTCAGGAGGAGCTACTGTTCTCTTTTCTGTAGCATGAGAAAATCCTCTGTAAAATCCCTTATCCCAATACTGCTGCAGAAACCTGTCCACATGGGGCCAGCTGCTGTCAATACACATTTGTTTGGGCAGAGCCTTTGGAGAAGATTCCTTGAACAGAAACCCAAGATAGGAAAGGGAGGACAGGGAGGAGCAAAGGATGGCAGCACAGGCTGGGCAAGCAAGCTGCTTGCCAGCCCAACAACCAAGTATTCTGGTTTTGCCATCCTGAGCACCTGAGTGCAAAGCAGAGCACACCAAGGATGACACACAAGGGCAGCAGACGGAATAGGGAGCACAGTAGTCACAGTGCCCGGCATTCCTTCAGGAAGCACCTTGTTGCTGGAGGAGACAGACCCAAGGATATTCTTCAGTACTGTGGTATCCAGCAGCAAGGCAGACAGGGGRCTGCCTTTGGCCACTGTAAAATGCCTTGATACTTGAAGAGATTCCTCCTAACGTGCAGAGATGAAAAATGTTGGAGAAGCAAAGAATTATCTGCAGCCTTTAAAGCCATGTGGGATACCCACAGAGCAAGGAGTGAGCAGAAGAGGCTCACAGAGCCTTAGGCACCTGTGTGTCATTTGACAAGGCTGAGGCATGCRGCAAGGATGGCACGTGGTAATTCCAGCACTAACATGACGTACGGCATGTCCCTGCAGGAATGCTGGATCCATGCTTACTGCCCCCACCTGGGAGGGGGAGGAAGGGATTTGCTCTAGTGCTTGATACCACACAGTGCCTCAGAGGCCAGGAGCCCCAGGAGCTGGGTGCAGATCAGTGTGAACTGCGGAGAAACCCGCCTCCGAGCCCTGCTTCAGCAGGCACATCAAGGCAGAACCAGGGGACGCTCTGCCCAGCCACTCTCTGCCTCCTGCCATCTGACTGCAGCGGCTGTCACCAAGAGAAGAAACCATCTGCAATAATCTGAGCTGTTGATCGCTGAAATGTGCTGGTAGGTGTGTGTTCCATGGGAGGGAATGCAGAGAAGAGACCAGGGAAAAGATACGACTCGGAGTCCAAACTACAGATTTGAGAAAATCCAGAGATACCAGTGGTTACTCATTACCTTTCATGTCTCTTATGTCTTTGCTTTCCCCTTACTGCCATGTTGCTCAAGTACTAAGRCTGTTAAGCAACAGATTTGGCACTGGAAAAGCTTCAAAGCAGTAAGACTATAATTTCATGTATTTAATTTTTAGAGAAGAAAGAAAAAAAGAATTTTATCATGTTTTGTTCCTCCAGTAAKTCTGCAGCCTCCACACTCTTAACTGGCACAGGAAGAAAATGCAGCAGACTATAACCCATGAATGCAAACAAATATGGAGAAAAAAGAACAAGACAATAGCGGAGGTAGAAAGAACTTAGAAAAAATATTAAGGAAGAAATAACATACACAGTATGATACACTCCATAGTTTCCACATTACTTCAAAAATTTWAAAAATTACCACCTTCTAAAAGCCCCTTGACTTGCATATTGTCTTTCTGGTCACACTGATGGAACAGTTTTTCACGAGTGATGAGTTTCCCCCGTTGTTTTTATTATTCATATACCTAATTATATTTGGAAGTGTATTATATATATACACTCATGTTCACATGTATGTATACAAACACATTTTAATATGTATTATATATGTTGGAACTACAACGAGTTAATTCAATGAAGACTAACAACAAAAATAAACTTTATCAAAACTAATGTTGTTCAAATTTGAATTTCCTTTTTTGGGGGAACTATATATTCAGTTGTTATTGGTAGAGTAGTCATCAATACCTGAATGTCTGTATGTGATTTATAATACAGGATTCTCAGATACTCATTTGCATTCTAAAACTATTAAGGCAAAGTTGAATTAAGTGAAACAGTTTGGTATTTTTACTTTGGACAACTTGATTTCCTAATAAAGTTGAGAAATACTAGCCTAATGCATTGCAAATGCTGGGAATATGCTGACTATAGCAGTATGCAGAGGTTTCTCTGGGCAAAGAAGCTTCAGAAAAACCCTAACCTTGCCGAATAAAGCAGCCCTCCCACAACTACTCGTTATTCTATTCAGGCTGCTTATGAGCGGTACRTACTAACACCGTCTTGTCTCTCACTGCCTTCTTTTAAAGTAYTAAAAATACCAGCATGATAAGAACAATGAGAGCTTGGTTTTTCCGGCGCAGTTTTCAGTCCCTACATTTCACCTGTTGTGGTTTCCTCAAAGCATTCCTACAAGAAGAGCCTAGGGGAGACAGACGTACCCATGTCGCCTCCCAGCACGTGCTCGTTAGGAACCTGCTGAAACCCTGGGATAGGCCGCGTGGTGAGATACCAGACTGCGTGGAGAACGTCCGTGGCATGGACACGATTGTGATCTGCAAGGAAGCAACAGGTCAGCCAAGCTGCTTCCTTTAAACTTTGTTCCAGACTTTGTGATTAAATTCCTTAATAAATTCCATAATAAGTATTTAAAATTTGTTTTCCCGAAAAATTCTTTAACTTGCAATACTTTTAGAATTTGGTCCCAAATCTGGTTTCAGATTTGCCTTYTGCTTCCCAGTAAGTTGTTTCAGATGATGTAATTCTTATTCTCTTCCTTTTCCTACTTGTTTTGCAAAACTTACTAAGAGCATTTTAAAGTCTTTCCAGAAGGAAATGTTGCCTGACACACATATATATTAACTGCCTACGTATTTTTTAAAACAAGAAAGTTAATTTTAAAACCTGGTAACAGACACACAAAATCAAAAACAAAGGTTTGTGTTTAATTTATACTAACAGTGCAAAGAAACAGGGCACGAAAAGTAATGCGAGACAGAAACATCAGGATGGGCTTGAGGCTTTCATGACACTTCATTATTCATCTAAAAATCATGCCTATTGCTCTAATTTATTAAACATTTAATTAGTTGTTTTCCAGTGCTGTTTTTGTAGAAATATTGGGGCAACAAATAGTATAGAAAAGTCAATAAAATGGTAAGTTACTTCCAAATTATAAGATTTCCCAGTTAATAGAACGTGTCCATTTATGACACAAAGTTAAAATAAATACAGTTAAAATCCTATTTCTAGGAGTCTTGAGGGATAATATGTCAACATTTTTCCTTGTTAAAAAAAAAAACAAAACAAAACAAAAAGCAAGAACAAAGCAACCCCACACTTTTCATGATACATAAGCATGTGTACAGAAACTAGAAACCAAAAGACCATATGGAACAGTAAAAAATGAGTGAAAAAAGATGTGAACATCTGTGCCACACAAGAATGAGCAGTCTCATCCAGATTTAACATTTTGAAGTTGGGGAATGAGACAAGCAAAGCACCCTGGAAAAGAACCAGCACACCCAGGATCCTGCGGCCTTTCCGAGGCCTTCTCCAGGCGGGACGGTCCCTCCGAAGCGGCTGGGCCAGCGGGGCGCCGCAGCCCGGCCGCAGCACGCAAGGGGCTGCCGGGGCTCTAAGCTCCCCACAAGCCGCCCTGCACCTTGGTCTTGGGCTGCTCTCAGTGTAGGCCACGCACTCAGATACGTCTACATTTCAGTGTGGGGGGATCCAACCTTCAAAACCTGGAGTGTTGCTAGTGAGTGCCAAAAAATCTGATATTTGGATGGATTAGGTGATTATCCATAAACCAGGCATGAACAAGACGTGTGCATGGGCGAATGGGGGAAGGAGGCAAAGAGGGAGGCATTGTTTGCTTTCCTTTTCCACCCAGCCTTGTTACAGAGTTAAAAACACAAAAAACAAACAAACAAAAAAGAGGTTGAAAATATGACACCAATTACTGCAGGTTTACCCCAAGGTCTGGGTCTGTAAGGYCCTACCCAGCGTGCTGGTCTTGGCTTGCACTGAGTGGGAATTTCATGTCTCTTCTGAAAAAGCTTGGAATTGGAACTTGTACAAGGAAGAGGTATTCCTCTTCCTCCACAGRTCCTCCACAAAGAGCTAAACAAGACGTGCAAAAAGTCTAGTCACCTGTGAAACAGCTATTTAATTGATAAGGTGACCACTAAATATGTTTTGAAGGACAGAAGTAAAATCCAGAAGCTGATTCTAACTTGGAGCAGTAATTCAAATTCAACTAGAGGCCAGTTGGTAAAGGAAAAGGCAGGAAAAAGCTGCCCTGGAGGACACCAAACAAAGGAATACGAAAGGGATAAAAACCGGCTGAGAAAGGGGCTGCAGGAGGGGCTAGGGAGATGGATCACACACTGACCAGGGGACTAAGGAGGCTGTAAAAGAGATGTCAAGGGTGCAAATCTGAAAGCAATTGTCCTGCTGCTTTTGGATATGGAAAGCCAGAGAAGATCTAGGAAAACGGTTAGGGTAACACAAGCACAAGATACAGTAACTGATTTTGTCTGGGAAGAGGGACTTTGCAGAAGCAAAGTCAAAAAACTTCAAAATAGAAGAAAATTCATTTTAAAAGTTTGGACAACTGTTCTGTCTATCCACCACAAACAATGAACAGAAAAAAAATCCAAAAGGGCAAATACTCAATAAGGGAGACTTAATAAAATGGAAATATAACGGAAAAAATGAATTTAAATTGGTATTAGAGGCTGCATCACTGCCTGCTTTCAAGAAACAAGTTTGACAAATACCAAGCATCTACCTTGCAAAACTGCCCATATCTGAGAGTGGGGAGGGAATTTAGTGCCGCTTTAAGGTGAGTGCTGGCGAGCCGCTCGCACTGCCAGGGCCCGSGCACCCGCAGGAGCTCAGGGAGGCTCAGCCTCGTGTCTTCAGTAAGTTTGATTTATCTATTCATACAAATTCCATAAGATTATACTGAACGTATATGATAGCAAATTGAGTCCACCAATTTTTCTGTAGTACATCAAATATTTTCAAAATATACGAAGTCAAAATATATTAAACTTGGACATCATCTACATCTATATTAAACATTAAACTAAAACACATACTAAAGGGCATATGCTACTATAAAAGAAATTTAATTGGACATTACTTACAGGGAATATCTCGGTAGCCATTTTCAAGTGCACAGAAGWAATTCATGAATTCTTGAGTTGGGATTTTGAAAATTTCAAACAAACCAGTATCTTGAAACAAGGTAAAAGTTACCTAAATACATATTAAAATCAACTTTAGTCTGAAAAATCACAACATCTAAGCCTATTTTGCTTTCTAACTTTAAAAATACTCCTGTTTAAATGTTGCTTGCTGATAGTGCTGGAAATTACTGACATTCCATTAAAGTGTATTTAAAAGTTAATAAAGCTTAAATTTTTAGTGCTAAAAACATCATTATTTATTTTGTACATGACAGAATATTAAATAAGTTTTTACTTCTCTATTGATAAATCCTATGTGCAACTGATCTTTTAATATTCTCCAAGCCTTTTTCCTGTTAGAAAACTCATGCTTTGTCACATTATTTACCTAAAAAGAAATGAAATAGACAGAAAATGAATTTTCTGTCTATTTTTCAGCCTTTGGTAAAGAAATGCTATATTTTATTCACTATTACTTATCTAAGCCTTTAAGAAAAGCTAGCTGACAAGCATTCTCAAAACGCACGCAGACCACACACACGTGTGTGCGTATATTGTGCCAATGTATGTGGTTTGCAGTTAGGACATAGTGACTGCCAAGCACTTACAAACTTCAAATAGACTGTAGGAAATAAGGAAGCCTTTCAAAAAAGGCACCACTTGTCATGCTCTGAAAAAAACTTAAAATGCTGCCAGCTTTTAAAGCAATACCCAGAATATCTTGTATTATGGGTAGGGAAGGGGTTGGGGCAAACTGCATCTAATGACAAACCGAGGTTATCCCCGTTGCTTCTTCCTTTCTCCCATACCGGTACAAATCTGCACTTCACCCCACACTCAAGTGCTTCTAACCTTTTTTCTTGGTTAAAACTGCTTGTTGCTCTCATCTCCCTTGGACTGGCAGCAAGGTGTGCTCTAATTCAGGAGGGAAAGTTAAATTGCTAGCAAGAACAAACAAAAACCTTTGTTGCCAGATCAGAGCAAAWTCAACCCATACCAGAGACCTATGACTGCCAGATCCAGCATAAGGAGAGAGGCAAAAGCTTCCCTGTGACACTGATGGGTAGGAGAGCAAGCAGGATCAGAGAACACTTCGTGGTAGCTCAGGAGAGACAAGGGGTGCTGCGTGCAGGAAGCAGCAGGGAAAAAAGTCCCTTTCTTTGGAGTTATCAGGAAGCAAAAAGCTGCCTAAAAGACCACTCCTTTTCCCCCACAAGTATAGCTCTGGTAAAAATATTTTAAGGAAATAAAGGAAAAAGAAGCATTTGACAAACATGGTAGTAATTCTGAAAGCAGGAGACAACTTCTCACAGGAAATGAAACATCAATACAAAATCTGTTCCCATAATAATGAGTCTAAGCTACTTGAGATGAAGAATAAAAAGCAGATTTAGTGCAAACTCTCTGTAAATAAAATACTTTGTGGTTTACAATGAGATGGAGTACATGAGAAATGATATTTTTACTTTTCAAACTAGCATTAACATGAATGTGACTGCAAAGCTTCACTAGAGTTTAAATAAAATATATAAGCACGACAGCTTTATACCCCCTCCCCCATGCAATGAAATACCACAGACCTGGCTAAGGATCCTTCCAGACTGGTCTCCCAATTTTTGCACAAGGTCAAAAATTTGGAAATTCCAATTGTTCATCTTCTCCATTAGTGAATCATGATCTATTGACATCATCTCTAATGAAGAGCTCTGCTCCATCTGTATGAGAGGAAGACACTTCATCTCTAAAGGAAGAGTGAAAACTAATCTCTGAATTACACTGACCAAAAAACCTATGAAAATGATAAAGCATTATTGAACTAACTGTATGCTGCAGTAACTGTGGCTATAAGAAAATCCTAAATCACTGATACAAATAGCACAGTTAAAAGCTTGGCTTTCCACACGCTTGGGCAGCAGGTTCCAGGCTTTCTGCGGATGGTGCTAAATTTTTTCGCCTTTTTTTTTTTTTTTTTTTTTAAATCTAAGGCAATAAAGCAGAGTAAAATCTGTGCAGGCCAACAAAACTTATCTGCTGAGTTTGGACAGTTTGATAATTGAAGTAGCTTTAAAAACGTGATGTCTAAACCCCAAATGTTAGCAGAGCTTATTATGCAGTCTTCTTTCCCCCGCTTTCAATACAGTGCACTGTACTAATATTGGGGCAGGCTCACTTAACTTGATACATTTTTTTGTAAATTTTCAATAGAAAATACTGGTCAGCGTGTGAGCATACTTGCGCACATTAAATATGCACTAAACATTTTTGCTTAACAAAAATGTAATACAAATGACCATCTTTTCACTTTCCAGTGAAATTTATCCAAGGTAGAAGCACACAATTATTAAATGAAATTTTGAACTCCAGCAATGCACCCTTTTCCTTCAGACATTACAATTCTTAGCAATGCAGGGACCTCTTTACAGTATATTAGAAATTCTAGAGAAATTCTTTATAAGTTACTGCAAATATTTTTGTTATTACATGCTTACAAGTTGATTATTTGGTGTTTGATGACCCTTTTCCTCCCTTTCATCTTGTTTCCTCTCTGTATGGTGGAAAGATTCTTTTGAAATACCAGTGCTTCCAATTTCACCTTAAAGAAAATAGGTACATTAAAACTATCAATAGTTTGTAAATGACTATAGTTCAACAATTTCTAAACTACATATACCAAATCAATCACTAGTTTCATAAACATTTTGCCTTGAGAACAGGCTGTAAAGAAAAAATCTGCTAGGCAAAAAATCCMTTTAGAACGCTAGAAAAGCTAGAAACATCACTCATAGCTTCAATGTTTAGTTTAGCAGAAGCAGTAGAGAGTACAGGACTATAAAGACAGGAGCAGAGACCATTGTAAAAATCTAATTATGAAATGGGCAGTATTTCAGATCATCTCACTTGTTCTGAATGGCAAATTGTAAGATAAAATATACGTATATAAATTACCTGAAGATATTTTCAAGTAAAACTTATGCAGAAATATGACAACATTAATTTAACTGGTTACTAAGAAAACATAGCAAAATTTGCATATTTAGAACTCCTACCTGATTTTCTGCCTTTGTATTCTGCAGATTCTGCTTCTGTTGTTGGAATAGGCTTGAGTATCTGACGTCCACAGCTTACAGAACATGGGGAAATATTTAAAACACTCAGCAATTTTCTTCTTGCTACTGCTGTAGCGCATTTAAAAAGTATCCACAAATTGCTCTAAGTTACCACTTTTAAGGTCCGTGGTTAGAGAACAACCATCCATCACCTCCTCCAGATACAGTCATGAATTAATACAGTAGAGACAATTAGATGACATCCCTTATTTTCAATATTCTTACAGACGTTATATATTTTAATTTAAAACCCATATGAAGTAACCAAATTTGTACTTGAAACTTTACAGTACCTGTTACACAGATAACCTGCAGGTGTTTTAACTGGCTGCTGAAGATCTGGAAAATTAAATGCGGATCCCAGAGGCTTATGTATATTAATGCTTGGTTTTGTAAGAAAGTCAGCAGTATCAGGAAATTCTACAGGGGACCAACTGGATCCATGACCAGGTGAACTCACAGGATTCAGGCCAGGAGAAGCACCTGCAAAACAAATATTACATTTGGTTCAATACATATATACACATATGTGTGTGTGTGTGTGTGTGTTTATACACACATATATACACATAAACACACATTAGATACATACAGATTACATTAATCTGATGACATATGTTGATAAGTCAACATGCAAGTTTTCCAAATCCTGTGTGTATCTCATGTCATTAAACACATGCTAAGTAGCAAGGCTGATTCCAAGTTTTGAGATTGACAAATATGAAGCCCAGACACATGTGAATGGCAGGCTACAGAGAAACACCTGCCTTTCAAAAAAAATTTTTTTTTAAACTTTGGAAAAAGCTGAAACTTCCCATATATTTTGTTTGATTCAGGATGTTTTTCCCCAGAAAATTTCATGAAAAATAACACTGTATTGATAACTAACTTCAAAATATTTTTCATCATGACTGTGCAATTGAAGATATACTTGATGCATTTAAAAAAAAAAAGAAATTGTAGCCATATTTGTGAAGAGAGTAAAGCCAGAAGGTAGTGGCCTTTTTGACAGCTATGTGCCTTCGTTATCATTGTGAGAATGTGCCCCAATCTTGTCCAGCAAGCCATCAAAGAAACCCCAAGGTTTGCTCAGGAGTCAGTCAAGAGAAGGTCACACCTCYGCCCCACTTGGATCCCTGGAATTCCCTATCTCTGCTCAAACACTGCTCAGAGTTCACTTCAAGCCTATGTCTGTGAACTACAGGAAAGCAAACAAGTAAATCTGTACATAGGCACATACAAATCTGACATTAATTTACAACAAAATTATAGATTAAGTCCAAAGGTTCTTCCTTTCCCTCTGTGAAAATTATATAAATAATAAGTAATGCAAGAATGCTCAAGGGAGGTTACACCCATTGTAAAAATACTTTCATCAAACAGAAGGTGCCCTTTCTCAGAGGTTCAAAAAATAACATAAGGAGGTTGWCATCCCATAACTGAAGCAGTAGTTCTACTACAAACTACAAAATCAAAATCCCATCAGAAGTTAACTCAAGTTTCTATCAGGTGCATCTAAATGACACCACTCSAATATAAAAAACAGCAGTGCTAAAAGGTCATATATGTTAAGTAAACACTGCAACTTTCAGCTAGTACCTACTACTGAACATATTTGGCCAAGAGCCAGGATGAGAAATTTGAGATTTGTGCAAAGCTGACAGTGTTGACTATCATTTTGAGTAGTCTTAGAACAAAAAACCTTTTAAGATATATGCTACATGCTGATGTTTTATTAGTAGCACATTGATATGAAAGAAATAATGATAATACATGATATGCTGTAAGCAGTTTGATTTAAACTTTCATATGGTGTCAGTCTTGACCCTCTGCCACTAAACTATATAAATTACAGCATCTTACCTACTCGCCTGGGACCCATATGGTGAGTCAATGTTATAGATGATGATCTTTGTTTTGGTACTGCCAGTAGGTTTGGACCAAAAGACCCATTTGAATGGGACGCTTGGCTAAAAATAAAACAATAAGATATTTTCTTTATTGTCTTTATTCCATTTTTGTCAAATAAAGTGCTTGCAAAATAGCTGGATCATTCTAATACCGTTATTCAAGGAAAAACAGAGCAATASAATGAAGCCAAGTTCATGATGAGCTGGACAATAGCTATCAGTTACACAGAACAGAAAGCAATACAGAACTAGATGCCATCCTAGAAAGACACAATAAAAGTCTTCAGATGACTTTTCACCTTCTAAAATGGCTTTTCCTTTTCCCTGTATGTTGCCTAGAAAGCATACATTATCTTCCTAATTCCCATAACTGCTTATTTACTAGCTAGCCCTTTTCACAGAACATTAAACAATTTCTTCACTTTAACAGTTTTAAATGAATGCTGTGGAAAGACAAATTTTCAAGATAACCTAAGTAACTTGAATTTGCTGAATCATTGTGTGCATACTTGCTCAAAATTAAACTATTACACAGCACTACACAAATGTATTCTTTAGTGAGTTAATTTATCTCAAACCTAAGACCATTTTTGAAGCTAATGAAGTTACACTGTACTTCAGTAGCTACAGCACAGTGACCTCAGTTAAGTTCTGCCATCTGCTGTTACAGGCCTGGAATTGCACTCAAAAATTCCAACTATGTTTCCCTTTCATAAACAAAAATGTGATATGTATTTCAAAATAACTATATAAATGTACCTGGAAGGGAAAATATTTGATGTAAAAACGATTATTGTACTTCAGCATAGAAAAAGCTGCATTTATCCACACGGATCTCACTTTGGTTAATTAAATASCAAACAATTTTTTTCCCCAACTCAAATGCTTGACCTACCACGATTTGCTTAAGTTTGCAAAGTTAAATATATGAACTAGAGAATAAAAATGGATGTATTACTCTGAAGTTTGATGTCTACACGTTAAGCAACTTGGTTCAAAGTTTGAAGAGTTAACAACTTTGATGAATCAAATCTTTCACTACTTGCACATTGTTTAGTTTTCCTAATTTGCACGTACTCATTTAAGGCACAGAAAAATTCTACATTGCTATTTGTGGTGCAAGATGACAAGGCAAACAAGAATGTGCAGGCAAACAGAAGAGTTGCATCTGAAAACTGCCTGGATAGAAAGAAAAACTTCTTGAACATTAAAATATTTTTGTAGCAATGTTTATTTCTTACACTCCTATGTAATAGCATCCCATCTTCCTGCACAGAGGTGGGCTTCAGCTGCCAGGCGGGACTGGGGCAGTGCAAGAGCAGGCAGGGACCTTGCAGGGAGCCAACACCGCAGACCCCTTCAGGGCAGGGGGCAGAGGCTGGTGCTGCGCCGAGGCGCGGGAGGGACACCCTGAGCGGGAGGGACACCCTGAGCGGGTCAGAGCACAAGGCCCCGGGCCAGGGCCGAGGGGTCACTGAGTGATAACGCACCAAGAACACGTGCGTTTTCTGCTCGAGAGTGCTGGAGCAGGTTCTCTGGTGTGCAGAAGGTGCAAAGAAACCTCCCTTCTCTCGTAAATCTACGAAGAATCAGCACTGGAGGTGCAAACCCCAATCTGAAGCCCCCGTTTGCAAGTTTGAAGTCTGGTCTGCAGTTGTTTCTAGTGGATGTAGCAGTGCAGACTTTCAAATGCTGAGTAACTGGACAACAAGAAATTGTGAAGCACATTCAGGCAGATTTCGTATGACCAACAGAATTGTTGCCTATAGATCAGCTGTTGAGAAAGTACAACAGTTGATGTCAAAAAACACCCAAACAAACAAAAAACCCATCCTGCTGCTCACATAATAGTGACAGCTAAGGACAATTATCTGTAACCGTTTAATTAGAACTCAATAGCTTCAATTAATTGTGACATATGTATAAAATAGAAGTTTTATTATGTAAAAACCTGAATAGTCTATTTTATTCAAATGAAAAATATGTTCCTGGCAGCTGCCAATTTAAATGATGTGCTTTAAAACTAAATGTAATCCTGATAAATTCTTATGCACTTGTTGCACATAAGTTTTCCTCTGTTACTAGCAATTATCAAATATCAGCAAAAATCATTCTTTTTAAAGTGGTTTAAGTAAAAACCAGTGACATTAAGAGGTACCAGGTACACAGAAAACAGAAATGCACAATTTTTTATGATTTAAACTATAACAAAATTTCAAACATATCTTGTGAGGAAAGTACMAAACATTATACAAATTCAAAGTGTGTGAACTTTTACTCTGAAAGACATCATTAAACATTAGAAAAGTATGTTAATTACACTATAACTCAAGATATAATCTTAATTACAGAAATAAAAGTTTTGTTTACACCATATTGACTGAAAACAAAAAAGGAGTTAACTTTCTATCTACCTCACTATTTAGTGAATGTACTGTTAAGTTTTGCAATACACAATAGTAGCTACCAAATGGAAAAAAATATATAATTTTTTAATTAGGAAAAATATTGGGTATATGGAAGTTTAAAAGTGATGCATGTTTAAATACAAAGAAGGAAGTCAGTAATAGTTGAGAAGTTACACGATTGCAAAATAAACTTTTTTGGACATTTCTCTCATTTCCTACTAAAACTTGTTGGCAGTGCTATTTATTTTGATGGAGCATGCCTGTCAACCCCAGAATGACCTGCTTTCTCTTGAGATCAAACACAGCTGCAGAAGTACAGTATATTATTAACTTGAAATGTTTTCTATCTTATGCTGGCAGAATTCAGTGGCAAGATTTAACATCAAACACTTCCCCAAGTTCCAACATTATAGACACAGACGTTTTTGACAGACTACATTTACTGTTCTACCACAAAACACAGTGAGGCGCTCACCTTGGTGTGCTGTACTCCTGATGAGATCTCTTGCTGTTACTCCGCTCCCACCTAGAAGAAGGCAATTCTATAGGTGGGATGCCAGGAACTCCTGAAGCTCTTCTCAGCTGTGGAGCTGGCAAGCTGCTCCTGCTACCGAGTCCCTGTTGAGCAATTTAATTATGCTTAAAATTCACACAGCTGAGAACAGACACTGAACTTCTATTTACAGCTTCTGAAGACAGGACACAACACTATTAACTGCTTTCAGTGAAACATGAAGGAAGGTATCTCAGGAAGACTCTTACAGGTTAAGAAAATTAAAAAGATATATTTAAAAATATTTTGCTTATTAGCAAGACCTTCCAAAAAAAGTAGTACTCCAGGAAAATGTGTTCAAAGCAAAAAATGTAAACCGTATTTGTAGTGTTGAGTAAGGTTTGCAGATCACGAGCAAAGACAGGTGACCCTTAGATAATAGTGCTTTAAAGGGTCTGACAGTGTCATTGCAGTTTTGCAATAGCTTAATAATTTTGCAATAATTAGTTCTGCACAAATGCAGCAAAGAACCTCCAGACAGAAGGCAATAAAGGTGTCAGCTAAGCAGTGTACTCTGAAGAATAATTTGTTACACAGGACTTAAGCAATTAAAATCCAAGATCTGAACTCCAAGGTAAAAAGTGGTATGCAGGAAGCAGCCTAGTAGGTACCAGAGACAAGCAGGACCCATAAATTGTCTGACAGAGGTTATTTGGATCGATGCCCTGAGACAACTTCCAGGGAAGGAGAGGAAACAAGCAGCTATAAACATAAAGTTAGACTCCAGCTCCTCCAGACTGGACATTTGAGAGAAAGAGGGAAATGGAGGAAGTGTTATGGTTATCCATACAATGAATATTCTTCCCAGAAGAATTTCTCTGTGATAAATTGTTCAAAAACAGCAACACACTAATTAAATTAATTTGACCTTGAGCAGTTTTCGATCTCCTTTTTCAGTAGGATCCTCTATTTCAGAGCAGGGGAAGAACCCAGGAAATGGTGTGAAGGGATGAGCCTTTGGTTTGCATGTGCCCAAGAAAGCACCCATCAAACTATTAATGCTTCGAAGGGAAGAAACCACTTGTGGTGGAAGGGATGGGTCACTCAGGAGGTCTGCTAGCATGGCCCGGGCCTCGTTTAGTACTGAAAGGTCAACTCCGTTTCCACTGCTGGAATTCTAGAACACATGGAAATGTTGCAAACCATTAACATTATCACTCACATGCAAGTTTCAAAGGAGCATTATTAAAACGTAGTTTATTTTTATTCTGTACAAAAAGTACAGGTACATTCAGATTTGCGTATCACTGAGCAAAATTTTATGTTCTGAGAATTTTTAACTGAATCTATACACAAAACAGCCACATTTTCTCGTATCAAAAGAAAAAGTGCTAGTAATGATTACAATGTGATTTTTCCACAAGTCAGAAATGGTTCACTTCCTTAGGGGAAAAAGCACAGTGCAAACTAAATTCTGCAAAGTATTTTTTAAACAATAAACCACTATTTCAGCTCCAATAACATCAACAAAAATTTGGGGGAGTCAAACTGCTATAAACACCTTATAAGTATACAATTTCTACAGCAGCTTAAGCCTAAATTAGATATCAACTCAGCTTCACTATCTTCCTTATCTTCATTATGCTTGATACTGCTGAAACAAACCCTAAAAACTCAGTCAAAACATGCTTAGATGTTATTTGGCACAAGTCCCTGAACAGAAACAGCGCTGGCTGATTAGACACTAATRCTGACACAAAAAGGTGGGGGAGGAAAAACAAACTGTTAGGAAAATAGTGAGATCCTGCTAAGCCCCGGGTCTGTGGCATTGCTGGAGAAATCATTCCCTGCTCTTATGCTGAGGGATATTTCAGTCAGCACTCTCCGCTTAGCTGCTTTTGAGACTAGTTGTCTCCTACTGTTTCTCACTGAGACAGTGCATCCCTATCAGCCTCATGAGAACTGCTGATTTTCAAGTCTCTGCTATGAGAATGAGAGCGCACTATGACAACCCAGATAACTGAGTTCTCAGCAGAAAACTTGAAATCTGAACTTCACAGTGAACTTTCTACTCTGATCACGTTATATTAAAGAACTCATAATAGACTGACCTGGTAATAGGGTTTGTACCATTGCTTCAAATCCCAATCCCAAAGAATCATCTGTAAAAAAAACGAAGAGTAGTACCAGGACGTGTTAGCACTGTTAACATTAACAAATACAACAATGTAATAAGTCTTAATTACGTGATGCAAGATAAAACATTTCTCCCAAAAGGTCTTCATAGGGTGAAACGTATGTCATTGTCTCAGTTACCAGTACCACAGCAAAAGTCCTGAGGTGCTAACTCTGTATGGAATAGAGATATCCTGATGATAGAATAATTTTATGACTTTATTCTAATATTTCTGGATCATGGATAAATCTTCTAATGTGTATGCTAAGTTAGCTGGCAACAGTGCTTTTCTACTTCAAGTCACCTAGAAATATAAAAACAAACCTACCCTAAAATCTCCAGTATCTTTTATAACAAGAATTAAACTATCAAGAAAGAGTTTAAAAAATAAAAAGTAATTTTAAAAAAAGGATGATACGGGGAAAATAATGCTCTCACAAACATTTCTGGGATTTTAAAGCACCATTAGAAAAACACAGAGGTTTTATGAAGTCTGCATATATAGCATTACTAATAAAGATCTCTAGGACTGAATTTACTGAACTTGCAATTATCATTTATGTCCATTCAGTACCCAAACACTGGAATCACTGTATTGAGGATATGGGAAGCTCTGGCCAGCAAGGATGAGTGTGTGCACTTGAGCAAGAGCCCCGTGAAAGCTGATGCAGGTTTCACACTCGGTTAGCCAGCTTGGCTAAGGAGAAGAGGCTGCACGAGCAAGCAACCAGCCTCTTGCTCCAGTTCTTCCTCTTTCTCTCTTCCACGTAACTTTCTGGAGTTACTGACAAACTCCATCCAATTTGGGAGACAAAAAACACAACTCAAAACTATCACTTTCCTGTATGATTTGTGACTCGCAAGTGAGTGGATAGGGGCAAGAGAACCATGTTCATTTCCCCTCTAAGGGACAAGCTGGAGCCAGAGTTTAATATTTACCTTTCATTTAGCTACAAACTCAAACTAATCACTCATATTCTGACCATAAGCTGTTTCTGTCCTAGCTGAAAGTTTTAAATACTGAAGGAAAGACGACACACTGTGGAGTATTTCAGTGTAAAAAGGAAGTACGGAAGGTAAAGAAGCCTGAATACTTTGACAGAGGTATAGATCAAAAGTTGGATAGAAAAAGTTAGAAACAAGAATTTATTATTTCTGTTCCTCACAAAAAAAAAAAAAAAAAAAAAAAAAAAAAAAAACTGCTTTTCAAGACGACAAACTCAGACAATGTTTGTTTCCTTTAATTCCTAAACATAGAAGCAGATGGAAAAGAGTCGCTTCAAATACGCGTAAGTAGGGGTAGATCCATAAACAGGAAGGAATTACTGCATAAAGACAATTATATTGGTTTTTCTGCTAGTTTTTTTTCTGCTGCCTTTTTGCCATGTTGCTCAAACACTTTGCCAATACACAACTCTTGCTACTGAGACTGAGTCTTGGGCCATCTTTATGTGCCTTTATATCTCCATCACTAATTAAGATACTAAACAAGAGTTAAACACAGCAGAAGAGGCAAATAAATACTTCCACAGACTGTACGGTCAGTACATACACCTCCGTACATATACTTTCCATATGCAGGTACAAACCTTGATAAAGCTAGCATTCTGAATGATACTGTCTTTATCTAAACTGATTTTTATGAATATTTCTAGATTTTTTTTTAAACTAAGATATGCTTGCTAACTTCTGGTAAAAATCCACAGCATTGCATGAACTGTTTGCTCWCCATGCAGTAATGCTGCAGCAGTTCCTCAAGAGGCCTCGTGTTACACACGGCGTGACACGTAACATGAGTGTTACATCACTCATCACATTCAGTGACAATCTGTTACCTACAGGCAGCCAGGCTACATGCAACTATTATTTTTCCCTGCTCTGTCAGTCCAAGGAAATATATACTAACTAAGTAGCAGGGCCTAAAAGTTAAGTAAATTTCATGGTCTTCTGCAGGACATGTAAACAAACAAAAAAATAATAGTTAGGAAAATTTAATTCCTTGATTTGTATCTAACTTGTTACTGCATGAACTTCAGAGACTTGTGGTCCTTTATACTGGCTATGTGAATGTTCCCTCCTCTTAACAATAAGACAGAGGATGCAATTTTTCTTCATTGTTTCTCAATTATTCTACATGATTTTTCATAGCTAAGCAAACAGTAGCAATATTGTAARTAAGCATAGATACTTTCTATGCCAAACATAATTAGACTACAAAGAGCCTTCCCAATGCTTCAGGTTAAAAAGCTGCTATGTTTTTAAAAGCATTTTCTTGCAGGAGAAATTTGTAGTTTCACTTTGAATATGGTTACAAATCTACGTGTCCCAAATAGCTTCATAAAAACCACCAGAGCCACAGAAGAACGTCAGCAGCACAAGCTGAAGATACTATCAGCTTCAAATACGTCAACTACACTCACTTCATTTTTTTCTACACTGACTGAAAACAAAAACAACACACAAAGAAAAGAAATTCACATCTGAAGTGTTTAGACTTTGTGACTTTTTGTCAGCCACTAAAAATACTGTAATTGAGAGTTACTTTTTCTTTGATAAATGCACTCTATGCAAATGACTATATTTACAAATTAAACAAGCTACAGACAAGGTACCCATATCCCTGCTTGATTTTTCATATTCAGCAGCCTTTGAAGTCATTCTGCTTATTTTAATAGGTGAAAGCTATAATTGTTTCTGTTCTTCTATGTCTAACACGTCTTTTGTTGAGAAAATTATGTTCCACTCTGGAACTTGTCTAGCAGAAGGTRTAGAAAGTGTCAAAAAGGAAAGACAGGCTGACATGTCATCAGTCGCCCAGGCAAGGGCAACATTTTCTCTTCTGTTTTCTCCAAACTGCCACCATTAAACACTGTTTTTCAAGGTAACAGTTGTAACATCCACCTGTTACATAAACTTCACAGTTAAAATGGTTATGGATGCACTTAACTTGACACTAAGTTATGCTCTAGCAGAGGTCATATTACATAAAGCAAGAAGATCTGAATCTAAGAATTCAGAATTTAAGAATTTAGTCATAGTTTATGAAACTATCTTGTACATCAAGACTTTTTTTTTTTTAATTCAAGATACAAAGCAAAAGTTATCACATCCGTAATATGCATTAGGATAACGACCAAAAGTACCTATCTGGCCCAATCTATAGTTCATGACGCATTCGTTTTTAAAAAGATCATTGTAAAAGTGAAAGCTTTATCCTCCCYGACAACTCAAATTATTTTGAAACCCAGCTTAACGATTTTGAAACCCAGACAGCTTACAACAAGAACAACARCAAGCAAACAAAGAAACCCAACTTCTTCATTTCCAGGTTTCCYTTTCCCAGCTGACAGTTACTGCAAAGAGACAAATCTTTCAGTTTCTGTCTGTCCTCCAGAGCACAGCCACATCTGCGTTCATCTGGTTCATTGACTATTGACTCAGTTTTGTTAGTTCTAACAGCAACCTTTGGTACCAATTGGCCACAGTTGCACAACCTTGCTTGCAACCACCCTGGAGGGACATGGAAAAGATTTCCCCCTATAGCTCTTTCAGTGGTTTTCGTTCCTTAAACTAGGGTGCATTAGCTGATTTTATTTGTTGTAAACAAGATGTTAATATGCAAAATCCTTGCAAACTCCAGAACTTTTCTGAACCAAATCTGAAACTGCAGCTACTTTAAATGGCACCACCTCTTTTATTCAACATTTTAGCTGTATTTTATATATAAATATATATATATGCACATATATATATATTTACACACACACACAGAGTCTATACTGTTATAGTTATAATTTGGAGCTCAATCCATAAGACTAAAAAGATCTAGTCCTAGATTCCTGAGTGACTACCTCTTTACTTGAGCGTTGCTATCGTATAGAAAAAGGCTTGAGGTTGCAGAGGGAAAAAAACATTCACTGGCAAGTCTCTTGAGCAGATAAAAGCTGTGGGATGAAAGTTACAATCTCCTCTACATGCACAAAATGGAGATCACAAGGAATATTTTTCTGCAGTAAACAAGTCAGTAAATCTCTTCAGTAATTAAATCTGTATATGGTAATAATTAAAGGCAGTTTATTACCTTATCTTGGATGCTCATATTAGACCACAAGATGGCACTCAAATCCAGAAAGCCTCCTCCAAGCCCCCCAAACTAGCAACCATTCCTCACTGTGAAAGGAGAGACCAGCAGCATACCCTTAACACACCTCCTGCAGAACAGGACTGCTTTAAGGGACAAAGGTGGGAGACAGTTTGAGATACACTGACTGATCAATTATGCTTCTTTGCAAAAACTTTTATTTAAAGATTTTATTCTGTAACATGGAATTCTACTCAGAAACTTCCTACAAAGGGACTGCACTTAGTTTTTCTGTACCCCTTAGAATTTACTATGGGCCACCAATAAAAGTTACAAAATATTCCCAAAGATGCACTTGATATTACAGCAATAAAGTAGAAAAAAGAATATAGTTTATTTTAAAGTGAAGCAACCTTAAAATAGATCCTAGGCCAAGTCTCAGCAATCTTTGATTTTACAAGCATGAGACGCATTGCAGAAAGAGCTGCCCTCTGTGACAGCAGRATTTTGTAACCCACTTGCACGTAACAGGCTTCCTCAGCTGCTCCAAGAAGGACACCTGATCGAGGAGGGACAGGACTCAAAACAAGTGAAGCTGGAGTGGGCTCTGACACTGCAGATGAGCTGCTGTCGAAGTGAGGAATCCAGCCCTCCCCAGTAGCCAGGGACACCAAAGCACCTGTTAGCCAAAAGTTCTCATGTCAGCCACACTTCAATCCTAGAGTCCCCCAGTTGAACTCACTCTGGGGAATCAAAAAAGCAATTAACACACTTTCCTATTTTTAAAAAAACTGCTTGACCAGCTTTGAACCCAGCTGTATGCCTTGCTCATGGTCAGGCAAACAATCTAGAACATCTTAAGAAAACTGAACAYGTATTTTGCTTAAGAAATAAACATCTACACT